CTCCCCCTCCCCCTCCTCCTCCTCCTCCTCCTCCTGCTCCCCCTCCTCCTCCTCTTCCACTTGTGGACTCTGGCGGCGCCGCAGCTGGAAGGGGGGCAGCGAGCGCGAGAGCTGGGCGGACAGAGCAGGCGGCAAAACGAGTGGGGCATCAGGTGGTCGGTGGCCAAAGCACGAGCGACGAGCCACGAGCCACGACGACGACGATGACAACGAAGACTCGTGAGCAAGTCGCGGTGGGCGCCTCTGCTGATTACCGTCGGCGAGCGGGACGTGAGAAGGAGAAGGCCTTCTCGAAGGCGGCGGGCTTCTCAGAAGGCCTCTGGCCTTCTGGGAGGTTCTTGCTGTGTCTTCGGGGAAGGCTGGGTTCGAGAAGGTCTGCTTGCCTTTTTCGGCCTCCGCGGGCCTCTCTCGTGCTCCCCGGGGACCGCCAAAACGGATCGGGTATGGAATGGACTCCGAAAAGGGGTCGGTGGACCGTTCTTTCAGCGGACTTACTTGTCTCGGCGGCTCGCCTGGGGGGAAGTGAGAAGCAGGCGGCCATCTCAGAAGGCGGCGGGGCTTCTCAGAAGCCCTCCGGCCTTCCGAGGATCTCTTTGTGGCTTCGGGGGGGGCTCAGAAAACCTCCCAGAAGGTCGGAAGACATCAGGGCCTTCCGAGAAGGCCCGCCCCCTCTCGCTTCCCCCCGGGACTCGCCGCCGAGCGTCAGGTGGGGCACGTGTCAGCAGGTGGCGAGCACGATGCCCCCGACTTGTTCGGAGAGGCCCCGCGCCACCCTCAGCAGGCGAGCCTGTGCCACGGGTGCAAGGCTCTGTCGTGTGAGTAAGCCCTCCGATGTCAAAGGCGCAGCCGGAAGCGTGCGAGCAGCGCTTACAGCGACAAATCCTACACATGCCGACCGACAGCATGATGCTCCTCCTCCTCCTCCTCCTCCTCCTCTTCCTCCCCCTCCTCCCCCTCCCATCCTGGAGCAGCGCAACCCTGACAAACTCAAAACACCCTCATGAACCATCGTCCCCGCTTGCCCGAGACCTCAACATCAGCTCCAACACGAAGACGCCGAATGCCAGCGTCATCAGAATGTCGACGATCAGATTCGTCGGATCGTCGGGCACATCCAGAAGAATCACGAATGTCCTGAGCATGCCGGACATATGGCACTGGCGCGTGGGCCCCGTACAATGAGGTACCCGGACTTTGCGGAGTGCAACTTGTATGATTCAGCTTATAATGCGATTTCTATCATGCGGCCTGTCGGGTGTAAAGAAAGGGAACAAGCTTGCGGGGTATAATCTGTGGCGGACAAGATATTGGGCATGTCCAGGTGAGGTGAAACAGAGAAGGCACACGCTACGGGTGCAACTTATAAGGCGCAGTTTATGGCGCACAACATCCGCAGCACAACCGAATGGGTGCAACACATGAGACGCAACGTGTGGACTGCAATGCATGGTGTACCGTCTGTGGAATTCAACTTGCGCAATTTACCTTTGGTGGATGTAACTCACAAGGTGTGGACTACCACTTTAAACATGACACGAATGACACGCAACTTGCCTGTTGCAGTACATGAGTATGTTTGCACCCATACTATATATCTTATTAAATATCATTGCTAAACTGGGGCGGGTGGGAAAGTCCCACCCTAAAAAACGGGACCCCCCAGATCCGTGGGACTGGGCCCCCTGGACGCCCTTGCAGAAAGCCCCCCCCCCCCCCCCAGGTTTTGCGGAGCTCGCGGAAACCCCTGCTGGGCCTTGGTAACGTGCCCAAATCGGTCAGGAGGACGGCCGCATGGCCCACCGAGGCCCCCGGGAGGCCCCAGACACCCACCACACGCCCGAAGACGACCCCAGAAAGACCCCCAAGAGGTTTGCGAAACGCAAAGAAAAAACATGTACTGCAGGTCCGTGCCGTGTCGACACTGGCGTTGGTTCCTGACACCGCGCTGGATCGTTCAACCTTGAACGATCGGCCGTCTCCGCAACGTCCGATCGTTCAACATCGATCGATTCTGGGTCGCCGGCGGCGTTCAACCTTGAACGCCCGCGCGGGGGTCGCCGCCGGTCGACACGACGCGAACCTACCGTACGTCCCATCGTTTTTCAGGTGATTTTAGGAATGCCCTGTTCTTCGGTCTTCGGGGCGCCGGGGCCACCCCTGGAGGCCCGCAGATCGCCCCAAGACTAATCGAGAGGGCTTCCAGGCTGTCGAAGAGAGCCCCAAGACGCCCCAAGATGGCCCGAAGAGAGCCCCATGACGGCCCAGGATGGCCCCAAGACGCCCCCATAAGCATTCCGAATCGTGACCCCGTCGTTCAGGGAGGCCGCGATTGGCAGCAGGGTGGCCCGAGGAAGCCCCCAGAGGCCCCCCCGGAAGGCGCCCAGGAGGCTTCCGGAAGGCCCCCCAAAGCCTTTCTCTTAACAAGTTTCGTGGCCCCCAAGAGGTTCTCCAAGGAAGAGGCTCCGCAAAAGTAGCTGAGGAGGATGGGAATTTAATTGACAAGGTAGGCCGATACATGAAGAAGAGGATACAAAATAAGAAACATAAAGAACCATGCTACATAATAACATTGTGTTAACGACGATGCCGGAACATGCAGCACGGAATTACCGCTAAATGTTATGTGTTACTTTCTTGCCCTTCCGTCTGCATGCCAAAAATTCGAGGGCCAAACCGCATAGCGCGAAGCGCCAATGAGGTCTTCCGTGTAGTTATATACGTACATACAACATACATGTGCATATACATATACAGATATACACGTAGATATACACATATGTACCTGTACAACAATATGTATATATAGAAACGTTTGCCAACGTGGACACCGATAATACGTCGATGCGCGGTGACCGTGTTATAGATGTGATGCGAGGTATGTGGTGTACGCTGTGATGTGCAATCGTTGTTACTAGAACCATGCGTGCTTTTCGCGCGCGTTCAGGTTCTAGCCGCGCCCGGGGAAGTCGCATCGGAAGTTGCCAATGAGGAAAGCAGGGGCGGTTCTGGAACTCCTTCGGGGGTGGTAGGGGAACCTGTACAATAGCAGTTCAAGTTTGGGATCCCGGCGACGCGTCGGGAGTCTGCGGGCTTATTCAGCGGTTATTGTACTCCTCTGGATCCGCCATAGGACCGGAGGAGGAGCTGAACAAACAAGATGGGTGCCCGAGTCTGGCTCCGTAGTACACGCCACCAGCCAGGGCCAAACAACGGTGCATCGAAGGCCGCCTCCCCCTCTGGCCACGCATCTGGGGCCATACCACGGTACAACGAAGGCCGGGTACCCTCTCCGGGTCGCACCGGCAAGGCCTCAAATTCGATGACATTGGCTTCTCGGGGGCAGTCTTGAAAAAAATCCGGGCCGCCTCCAGCCGTCTTTGAGCCGTCTTGGAGCCTCTTAAACGCATGCTGGAGATGCGGTCTCGGGGGTCTTTTGAACCGTTTGGGAGCCGTCTTGGGGGCCTCCTGGGCCATGTTGGAAGTCTCTTGGGGCCGTTCTGGAACCGGTTTGGGGTGCCTCTTGAGCTGTTTCGGTGCCCCCTTGGGGCAATAGAGGGGCTGTTTTTTGCCCATATTAGGGCGTCGTGGGGCCCTCTTGGATCTGTTGAGCCGTCCTGCGCCCTTCCGGGGGCCCCTCTTGGGTCGAATTAAACCCCTCTGGGAATCCAACCTTGAGCCGTCTTGGGCCCACCTTGGGCCCTTCCTGGGGCCTCCTTGGAGCACTTTTGGGCCGTCAAAGGGCGAGCCTGTTAACCTGCCGTGGGCGCTCTGACGAGCGGAACCACAAACACTCAACGCGGAGATCCCCATATGTGCATCTCATAACTCCCGTCACGCGTCGCTGAGGAACACTGTATGTGCGCATCTGGGTGTGAGAGCGAGTCCGCGTAGACGACAGGCGCGACAACGGACAGCGACGACTTCATTGACGTCCTCCTCCTCCTCTGGATATCTTTCAAGAGAGATGAAGGAAGCACACATGGAAGAGCGAAGAGGAAATTCCATTTGCCGCCGTCACTGCGGCAACTCCGGCAATCGCGCAAGTCGTTGCTACGCCCACTCTCTGGCGTGCCACTCGCGGCGCCTGCTGGCATTTTGGGTGCCCACATGTCACGCTTGCTATATCGCGGTAGCCACCTGCGTGTGAGCCTTAATGCGATCGAAACTGAATGTGAGTGGCCTGTGTATGGGCGAATCGTAGTGCAAGAGGATGTGGGTATAATTGAGTCTGAGTGCGAGCGAGTCTGGGTGCGAGTGGGTCAGAGTGCGAGCGAGTCAGAGTGTGAACGAGTCTGAGTGTGAGCGTGATGAATCCGAATCTGAATGCGAATGAGCCTGAATACGAGGAAGCCTGAGTATGAGCGAGTCTGAAGGTGGGCGAGTCTGAACCTGACTGAGTCCGAGTGTTAGTCAGTCTGGGTGTCAGTGGGTCTGAGCTAGTGAGAGTACGACGATGTGCGAGTCTAAATACGAGCGAGTCTAAGTATGAGTGAGTCTATATATCGGTGAGCCTGAATGTGCTGAGTGAGTCTGCATGGGGCAGATGTGCTGACGAGTAAGGCTGAGTGTGAATGAGTGCGTCTGAGTGAGGAAAAGCATGAGAAGGAGGGGAGTGAGCGAGTGAGTCAGTGAGTGAGTGAATGGAGAGCACACAGGTTCAACGAGAAGTCTGTGGGGAGACACAAGCAAACCGCTTGAGACATCCCCACAGTGGGGCGCGAATCCTGGAGCGTCCCCACCCCTGGCGGCTCCCCTTGGGGGTGCTCAATTGCTACGCTTGCTGTATCGCGGTGCGCAGTGGACCACCAAAAGAGAAACGCCTGGGTGCAGACACAAACAAACCGCCTGAGACATCCCCACGTATTGGGCGCGAGCGGGCGAGTGTCATGCCCCCAGACGGCTCCCTTTTGGGGTGCCTGAATGCCACGCCTGCTATATCGCTGTAAGCAATGGACCACCAACAGAGACAACCCTGGGGGACAGAAACTAACAAACCGCGTGAGACATCTCCACAATCTGGGCGCGAACGCGGGAGTGTCATACGTCCAGTCGCCCCCCCCCACCCCCCCTGGGGGTGCTGAAACCAGCTCCTTGTCTGAGACGTCATCTGAACGCAGACGAATCTGGCCACCAAAACGGGCAAACCGCCTGAGACATTCCCACAACCGGGGCGCGAACAGAAGAGTGAGATACCCCCCGGCGGCTCCCCCCTTGGGGCGCTGAAGCCAGCGCCAAGCCTGAGACATCCTCGCAATCTGCTCTGACCACAAACCAATCTGCCACCCAAACAGGCAAACTGCCTGAGACATTCCCAGTGCTACGCCTGCTATATCGCGGTGGGCATTGGACCACCAAGTGGGCGTGAGTAAGTCTGGTGCTACGCCTGCTATATCGCAGTGAACCTGAGCGTGAGTGACTATGATGGGGCAGCGCATATGTGTTTGAGTAGGTATGAATCTGAGCGAGCCTGAGTATGAGTGGCCCTGAGTGTGAATGAGTGTGAGCGTGAGCGAGTCTGAGTGTGAGCCTGAGCATGAGCATACATGGGTGTGAGTGCACGAGGGAGGCGGCCGTGGGGCGGGAGAAACGGGAGTGGAAGATTTCGAGTCACAGCAAGAACCCCATCTTAGGATTTGGGGAACAAGTGCCCCATCTGAGGATATGGGGAAATATGTGTAAACAATTACCTCGCTAAATGGGATAACCCTGGAGCGATCTCTATGAGGGGAAAACTTCCTCAACCACTAAGCAAATGAGATTTGACTTTGCATTGCTTTGGTTTGCTTGGCATTGCGTTGCGTTGCTTGGTATTATTGCTTCGCATTGCGTCGCGTTGCTTGGCGTAGGTCGTTTGATCAGCGTTCCTTGGCATTGTTAATAATGGACTGTCATTGCCTGGCATTGCTTGGCATTGAATGGTGGCATGAGTTGTCATGGATGGGCATTGCTTGACATTCCCCTGCCTCCTTGCTTTGCCTTGCTGTGCATTGCTTGGCGCTACTTGGTATTGGTTGGCATTGCTTAGCAATCGCACAACCGCGCAATTTGGGCAACTGCGCAAACTGGGCAACCGGGCAACCAAACAACCGGGCAACCCGGGCAACCGGGCGATCGGGCACCCCGAGGAAGGCAAGGCACGCGGGCAACAAGAGGAAGGCCAGGCAACTGGGTAACCCGAGGAAAGCCGGGCCACTAGGCAACCCGAGAAACGCCCGACAGCTCAGGCCTCGCACCCCCCGGTTCTTTCAAAACAGATCAGAATCTCTCAAGCAGGTCAAACGGAGGGCACAAAAAATGGTTGTCACCAAGGGGGGCTGTGAGGCGACGGGTACTTTATGTGACCACGTGGGGTTTTCTATGTCCCCGTTTCCTGCTGGGGCTGTCTATGCCCCGATGGGTCTCGTGTGTTCGATAATTTTCGTTCAATGTGTGAGACGATGTGAGACGGCGGCCCGTATGCCGTTTCAGAAATCAAATGGTGATGCTTTGTGGGGTTCGATGGGATATCGGAATAATTCCAACAGCCCTATGTGGGCCTTTCCGTGTCCACCAGTGTGTGGATACATCATCACGTGTGAACCCTCTCTGCGTAGACCCTGAAGAACGGACAACAGCAGCGCATGCAAAGCAAATCTATGCAATGCAAAGCCTTGCGGAATGCCATACCTGCAACAGTGGGGTGCGCAGTGCGGGCGGGTCTATTTCACTGCTCCGCGAAGGGCACGCAGGCCATCGGCCAAACAACTGGAGCCGCTCATGAGAAGCATCCTCATATATGCCAGGGCTGACGAGAGGACTTGAACGCGATCTGCAAGAATGGAGAGAGGGAGGGGATCCTTTAGAGGCCGCGCCCCGCTACGCGACTGGTAACTCGTCTGTGCGCCCGTGTGTGACATGGTCCTTGCTCGCACCTAGACTGACGAACAAAACTGGCAGCACGCTTAGGAACGATCAACCACATGAAACGGCGTCGCAAAGCGTTGCGAACAGCCTTTTTTTCGATAATGCGCAACGGAACAATGTGCTAGACATGCGCGCTTCCCGAAAGAAGAATGGGAGGTTTTCTGCGTTCTGGGACCCTCTTGGGGGTTCTTTTTGAATGGTCCTGAAGCGTCGTGGACGCCGCTTGGGCCGTTTGAGACGCATCGTGGGCCGTCTGAGACCCCTCGAGGCCCTGTTGGGGGTGACTCGGGGCCGTCCTGGGCTGCACGAGAGCGGCTGCCGGATTCTTCTCGGAGGCGATTTTTGCCTCCCCAACGGCGAGCCCGGCCCCCGGCACACCACGGGCGGCGACGAAACGACGATGGGGCGGCGACGGCGACAACGTAGCCGCCAGACCAACCATCAAGCCCAGTTCCTTATAACATAAGTAAGAGCCCCCAAGTGCACGCACTCTTTGGGGCATAGCTCTCTCTCTCTCTCTCTCTCTTTTTTTTTTTTTTTTTTTTTTTTTGTTTTTCATTTTTTTTTTGTTCTCTCTCTCTCTCTCTCTCTCTCTCTTTATCTCGGGAAACTCATGGGGTAACTTCAGCGCGCGTCATCTGAGTGCTGGGGGCTGGGGCCGAGGCCGCCGAGCTAGAAAAAACAACCAACGGTAGATCAACTCGGCATCGTTCATATATCCAAAAAGGGCCCCATGTATCCCGGACAAATATGACATTCCCTCATCTGAAGGTGATGCAGTGCAGCGCACGGGGCTGGTTCTGACAACGTCCCCGGGAACTCTGCGAGGGTGCTTTTCACTGTTTTCACGATCGGGTCGGCGCATGCGGTCGTCACTGGTGTCCGCGCTGGGGGTGGGACTCGGCGGGTCGGTGCTCTGCGCCAGGACGGTTGTCTGGACCTCTGTTGGTTGTTGTCCGTCGGCATGTGGATAAAGCCCTGACCTGTGCGTATACTCACCTGCTCGGACTCCAACTCATCTGCCATCTTAGCGTCTGGGTGTTACCTTCTGATTGCAAGAGCTTCATGACGAAAACTAGCCGACTCCGCCAACGGAATAAAGTAGACCGAACTCCCGCATCTTCTCAAAGCCCGATGCCGCGGGCGATTGCCAGGTCGGATGCGGGTTTGAAGGGAAACGCGGAAGTGCTCCATGACTCGACCCAGGACACCAGGCATCGGATCATCTCTCAGGATGGCCTTGCCCACATACAGGGTGGAGTACGAGCCGATCGCGTATGCTACAGAACGGAAGCAAATAGGTGTCCAGGCCCAGCATGCCGTGAAGGCGGTGGTGCTGATCGGTCCCCTTCCAATCATATACTCCACGTCGCCACTCTGGCTGTACTATCTCCAGAAGGCGCCGCGCCCACTTCCGTGGGTGATGGTCTTGGGGCGCAGAACGAAGCCGAACAAAACCTGACATGAGAAGGAGAACGCTGATGGCACTCCAGTGGTGGTCCCCGGGAAACCCGACACTGATCGAACCTCTGGCCAACGAAGGAAGAGAGGAAATCGGGGACTGCCGTGATGATGGCACACGCGTGGCGATGACTTCTTCGATTCCAGACCCACTCGCGAACGCAAGCTCCTACTTCGCCTTGGCTGAGGCCCGATTCTTTATTGAGGGTGGAGGTGAGGGGCTCGGGGGGCACTCGTGCATGCATCTAACTGCTGCAGCAGGAAAGGCAGGAGGAAACGAGAACCTTCCCACTCACCTCATTGGCGTCTATCGAGGCCAGTGGAAGGGGGACGGCCATCCATCGAAGGTCATCCCTGGATGCTGGAGTATGGGTTGGTACCACTTCTCGTCCGAATCACATATATCTCGACGTCAAGTGATGTCTCGTGCCATCCTTGGCTCTGCTGGGCTCTGGCCATCTCTTCTCGATGGGCAATCCTCCAACAATCTTCGATCTACCGAAGAAGGGGACCGAACGTCGGATAGGTTGTCACGTTCAGCTCGAGCAGGCATCGATGTCATATGTGGGGTCGACAAGCATGAAATCCACGCACAAGTCTGAGTATCGAGCCGTCACGTCAGATCTCCAGAAACGACAATGGCATTGAAGATGCCAGGCAGGATGTAGAAGATGAAGGTCATGTCTCGCACGCCCACTGGACACTAGACGCGTAGCTTACACCGATGGCGCGCGATCCCTGACGCCCCGTTGCCCTCTCGGGGCCGTGCTGAGCCAAGTTCTGAAAGAGCCCCTGCTTTGCTTACCATCACCGCTGTGGTGTCTGGATATCGCTGGCAATCTCGAGACCTCGAACGAGGGCGGTGTCACGGGCCGAGCTATGAGCACACCTTGGGCTCAACCCGCATTGATTCTGCCTGAACACCAAGGGCGGCGGACATCGCAAGCGGAAAAAGACAGAGACAAAGAAAGAGAACCAGACAGAGACACATGTTTATCTTGATTATTGCAAGTGCGCAACCCATTGCTGTATAATGACAAAGGTATTTTCAGCCAGGGTGCATCCACGCCCGCGCATAGCACACATGTCACCGCGCCGTTTGTTCTGGCCGCGCCCAAGTGGACGACGCCGACACCACGGCAAACACACGGCAAGCCCTGAGCCCCGCGCCCGAGTAGACGAAGCCGGCACCGCGCTAAACCCCAAGGCTAAACCACCGCGTCCGAGGCGGCGTTTGCCCTGTTGGCCGCGGCGCCCTTCCCAAAACACAAGGCCGCGCATCGCAACAAACGGCGCGGCGACATATACTCTACAGATCAACAGCGATGTTGTTTCAGGTAGTTTGAAGAGCTCTACCTTGACATGCTCAGCGCGCACGTGGTTTTGTAATGATTATGAAATGCGCGCGCGGGAAGCGCGTGCGTATGACACGTGGCCCGCATGGGACAATTTGTTCGAGGTTCTTACACAACGTATTTGCCAATTCAACACGTCGTGTGGCCCGCATGGTCTTGCTTGACAAGAATACCGTGGGGGATCGATACCGGTTTGGCGAGGCTGGTACGGCATCGTGCATCAACAGTATGCAAGAGCAATGTGCGGTACCATGAAGTCTGGCCTCGGCATGGGTGTAACGTCTTCCGTTCTTTCAGAAGGCAAATCTATCCGCGAAGCCCGTCGCACAATTTGGCCACGGCCACAAGACCCTGGCGTACAGCGCCACCCTTGGCACAACCCAGACACGGCCATGCAACCCAACGCATTGCGCAGCTCACCGCGCAACCCAGCTACGGCCACTGCTGGAACCCAGCGCACAGGGTCAGTTCCCCGAAGCGCAAGTAAGACCCCTTTAGGTGCAAGCGCTGTTTGGGTATTGCCTTGACCCTGGCTCTCCTCTCCCTTCTCGCAAGCAACAGTGAATAGCGAAAGACACGCTGGCACGCACCTGCCACTGTGCAGCTCTCATGGGTGCGCGTTTCTGGGGGCTAGCGCTTGAATGTAGTGCTCGCGCGGTTGGAGGAAGGAGGTGGTGCCGTAGGTTTTGTTGGGCTCTTCGTCGAACCCAGTCGCCTAACATGAAACTGGGTCATACGACACCTGATTGCTCCTTGGAGTGTGCATGACATACTGCGACACCATGAGGACTGGGCACAACTGCATGGCGACGGTAAGCGGACATGCACACATCGAAGAAAGGTGAAGGACTCGCGACTGAAGCCATGAGCGAGTTCAGGACGGCATGCGCATGAACACAGATCAATGCAGGCCCGGTCCAGCCGAAGAGCGCAAACACCAGAGCGACAATCGTGACGACCTTGAACGCCTGGGCAGCTCTCTTTCTTTCCCGACGTTTTTTTTTTTTTTTTTTTTTTGTCAACTTGGATGCCGATCCCGAGCCGTCGGTGCCAGCCCCGTCGGCGCCCGACAACACGTTGCGTCATCAGAGAGGCACTCGTCAAAACCAGACTTCGGCAACCACAACGGGCAGTGCTCAGCACTCTCTCCAGCGCGTAGTTACGCCTCAGTTCTATACAAGGAGGGATTCTGGCCAAGTCTAAGGTCATGCATGATTATTCCTGTCCTGCCCGCGTGGAGGCCCTAATTCGATTGAGGTGTTACAGAGGTTCGGACAAAGGGAGCACATTGGGGATCAACTTCTAATTCAAGCGAAGATGTGCTGCTATTCTTGCCAACGCCTACCATCCATTTGGGCCAGTCGTAAGCCTGCGCTTGCCTACGGTAGGTTCGTGCGGCGTCGGCGCGCGCAGTTGTTTTTTAACTGCGTCGATCGCTCAACCTTGAATCGATCGTGGCCCCGATCATGCAAGGTTGAATTCTGTCGTGTCCTGTGGAGCTACAGTCAACCCGTATGATAAGGACGCGCGGTAAGGATGCAAGGACCTTAGAGGGCCACGTTAGCGTTTTTCGGACTAGGCTGGCCAGCGAGAGTCGCTAAGGATGGGCCGAAGGGGCAAGGATGCAAGGGTACCCTTGGGAAGGCTGCCCATCCTTATCCTTACTATGCGGGTTGACTGTCATGTGTCCATCGGTGCATCCGCGTCGCAGAATTCAACCTTGAACGCGTTCGCCAGCGTCGCCGGCGCGCCATCATCGCATGAACCTACCGTACTAGTGGTCAGAGCAAGCCAGGCTTAGGTCGGGCATGCCCCCCTACAGGCGGACTTTGGAAGAAACACTGAAGCTGATCAACAGATGCCCAGAAGTAGGCAGAACTAGTTGAAAAATCGTCCCTGTGCTATCTTGTGACTATTTTTTGATATTCCTCCCGTAGAGGGACGCGCCCGGCTTCAAGCCAGGCCGTAGACATGCAGAGACCGTGCGGGCCACCGGCGGGCTCGTCGGACAGCCCCAGGCGCGCCGGCCCTCCCGCGCCAGAGGGGCGTCTTGCTCCTCGGCACCCCGCTCTCGGGGTTGGGGGGTCGTCGTCGTCGTCGTCGTCGTCGTCATCGTCGTCGTCGTCGTCGTCGTCGTCGTCGTTGTCGTCGTCGTTGTTGTCGACATCGTCGTCGCCGTCGTTGTCGTCGTCGTCGTCGTCGTCGTCGCATCAGCGGGCGCAAGGCTCCCTGGACGCTGCGGCAGGCGGAGCGCCGCCCCCCGGATGCCGTTGGCTGGGCGGCCGCGGGCGGCTGCCGCTCGGGCATGCCGCCGCCCAGGGGCGGGGCGGAGTGCCGCCGCGTCTCCGGCGGAGGGTGGGCCCGAGGCACGGAGTCCTCTTGGTGGTCTCCAAGCCAGGTGGTGAGGCACCCGGTGGTGACCCCGATTCCCCAAAGAAATAATTCTGGGTCACCACCGGGTTTGGGGACACGCGGTCGCCACGAGGTTTTGCGTTTCCTGGGCCAGCCAGCGCTCGAAAACCATTACCCAAATCGCCCAAAACTCACCACCGGGTATTCTCACCACCACGTTTGGGGACCACCAATCCTCACCGCAGACGGCGCCAGCACGAGGATAACACCGGGGGGGGACAGCTTGATCATCTTGCAGTCTGGTGGCTCTACAGGATATGTCCCGGGCGCCGCGGCCTTCCCAGAGCGTTCCAGAACGCTCTGGAACGGATGAATCCTCGTCCCAGCTCCGTCCGACCATCTCCCGTGTTTCCCTCTTCTCCTCTTGAGCGAAGACCGACCGTCCTGACGTTCCAATAGGCCTCCCGCGACATGTTCTCATAACAAGAGAACGCTCTCATTCCTGAAACACTGTTCTCAGAGCATACACTCGATGTATCAAAGCAGTGCGGCCTCCACCAGAAGCGCTCTAAGAGCATTTCGCGCAAACCACAATGCCCTCAGAGCGCGTCGTGCAAGTCACGAGCGGCTCTTGAGAACACCCCTGGGCGGGTCCATGGGCAAGTCAGGATTCGCCGCTGCTGAATCTTCCTCCGCTTGCCTAGGTGCCCCTCTCGCTCAACCGCGGCCCAGCTGCTGCTCTGTACCCTGCGCCGCCACTGGCGGAAAGATCCTGGCCGCCCACCACGGGCCGCCTGGCGGGCACGGGGCTCCACCCCCGCGCCGCAGGCGGCTGCCGCCGCCGCCGCCGCTGGGCCCCCCCTCCCTGGAGGGGCCCCAGTGGGTACGGCCAGCAAGGCGCGCCGGCGGCGTCGCTTTTTCCCCAAGGGAACAGCATTGGCATAAGCATTCAAAGCTCGGAGGTCCGCGCGGACCTCCGAGCCTTTCTGCTCCTCTTACTGCCTGTTCCCCTACCTCAGCTGTCGTGTGCTGCACTAGGGGGAAAACAAACCTACCCCGCTTTTGACCACCCTCGCTTCCAAGAGATACCAAACGATGCCAAATTGCAGCCTGTACTGGTCAGGCCGCTTGACGAGGAGGCGCGTGGTATGGCCTGGTTATGCCTGGAAGCGAAAGCGGGGTAGGTAATTCACGCTCTGATGCGCGCTCTCCTCCCAGGAGGAGGAGGAAGAGGAGGAGGAGGAGGAGGAGGAGGAGGAGGAGGAGGAGGAGAAGGAGGAGGAGGAGGAGGAGGAGGAGGAAGGAGGAGGAGGAGGAGGAGGAGGAGGAGGAGGAGGAGAAGGAGGAGGAGGAGGAGGAGGGAAAGGAGGAGGAGGAGCCCCTCCGCCCCAGAACCACACAGCACGCCCGACGGACTGCTCTGCCGCCGCCGCGGCCACCGCGCCGCCACGGCGGGCGCCAAAAATGCGAGGAACGGAGGGGGCTCCTCCCGGCCACGGCGGGCCTCGGCCACAAGCCCATCCTCCTCCTCCTCCTCCTCCTCGTCCTCCCTCCTCCTCCTCCTCCTCCTCCTCCCCCTCCTCCTCCCCCTCCCCCTCCCCCTCCTCCTCCTCCTCCTCCTCCTCCTCCTCCTCCTCCTCCTCCTCCTCCGCCCCGACCCAGATCTGAGGGAGCCCACAAAGGACGTACGCGCCCAGCTATGTACATGAACACGGCCCCTTGGCCCGCGAGACCGGCCGCGTGATACGAATATTCGCCGAATGCGAAATCTCGAAAACAGCGTGGCATGTACGTGTACGTCCTTCTTTCGCTCCTGAAGATCTGAGGATCGGCCCGAACACCAGCGCCCCCTGTGAACCCCAGGTGGGCGACGATCAAAGAAGGGGGCTTTACGCGATATGACATGGCGACCTGACCCAGTGGCTTACGCGGGCCGCCGGCGCGGCACGCCACGCTGGAAACGAGGGCGCTTACGCGCGACCTTACGCGGGCAGCTTGCGCGCGAACGTCGGCGAAGACAACTCCATGGTTTTGCGTCGCTCACTCAACACTCGACTGCACGCAAGAGCGACCCTGGATCAGCAAGAGTGACCTTTGGTGAGCGGCTTCTTGGGGGCTGCGGGGGCACCAGACACAGGCCCGCAAGACGCTACCTACTCTACTGCAACGCGTTCGGCGATCGGGGGGCCCCAGTGGGCCCGCACCAACGGTCACTCTGGCGAAAGGTCATTCCTACGTCTTGTCGACTCAAATAAAAGAAGAAATAACAGCATACACATAAACTTGTGGTGCTCCGCGCGGATTTGGTGGATCTGAGGACGCTGGACCCCCCTCCCTGCCGCGCCGAGCGCGCCAGGGGCGGCGCCGGAGGCGCCGCCAGGGGGGCCCCAGCGCGGATCCAAGAAATCCGCGCGAAGCGCCTAAAAATTATGTTTATGACGTCTCTTCTTCTTCTTCGATCAAGTGGTTCTTCTTCTTCGATGCAAGGTCCCTGGAAGTCCCGACTCTTTCCCCGGGGCCGGTTTTTCGTCCTGAGTCGTTTTTTGCGGGTCCCGAGGCCCAGCGAGGGGTCCCCGAGGCCGGAAACGGCCAAAAACCGCCCGTCAACGACAGAGCATGTCAGGGGGCGGAAGACTTCCGTGTCGAGTGGGCCGGCGCGGCCAGCAGCGGCAGCGAGGGCCGTGGCAGGGGGCGGCGCAGCGGGCCGGAGAGCACACGCCGCGCGGCGCCGAACTGGGTGCGGGGGCCGCATGCGGGCCACCCCCCCCTGGGGCCTTCGGTGGAGCTCCCCAGCGGGCCACGAAGCGGTGCGAGGGGCGTGCCGACTTGGGTGTGCTCTCGGCGGCCCCTGCGGGGCTCTGGCCAACAGCCCCTCGGCGGCCGTCCGTGCCGCCGCATGGCGCGGCGGACTGCTCGGCACGGCCGGCTCGTGCCGTGACGCCTCGTGTGCTGGCTTCGTAAAGGGCAGCAAGAATCCCCCCCCATAGGAACCACCCAGACAAGCGAGGCCGTGTAGTAAACGCACCCAGAGAAGGACTCGAACAGGGCAGGGCTGTTTGGTGAAGGCCCAGGGCCCTTCAGTATACGCCGATTATCGGGTCCGGGTGGCTTTCCTTCCCTTGACTTCTGACGTGCCTGAAGACGAAGCCAGCACGAGGATGAAATCGGGTGAGGGCAACTCGAGAATCTCTGAGATCCGGCGGCTCTGGAGGATGTCTCAGGCGCCGCGGCCTTCTCTGAGCGTCCCGGGACGTTCTGAGAGCGTTCCGGAACGCTCTGGAACGGATCTATCCTCGTCCTGCCCCCGTCCGCTGCCTCCAGGAGACGGCGCCGTCGGCGCGGGGCAGACAGGGCTCCGCACAGAGCCGCATCCCCGATGCGTCGGCGAGGCGCCCCGACCCTCCAAGCCCATCTGCTCGGAGCCCGGTCGGCCAACTCTGGAACTCCAGGGTCCAAAAATGGCGCAACGTCTCACCTTTGCTTCCGTCGTCTCCCGCTGGCCTTCCGCCGGCTTCCGTCAGCCTTCTGCCGTGGACGCCTCCGCCTCCGCCTCCGCCTCCGCCTCCACCCCCGCCTCCTCCTCCTCCTCCTCCTCCTCCTCCTCCTCCTCCTCCTCTTCCTCCTGGTCCTCCTCCTCCTCCGCCTCCTCCTCCTCCTCCTCCTACTCCTCGTCCTCCTCGTCCTCCTCCTCCTCCTCCTCCTCCTGCGAGGATGCGCTCCAGGAAAGGCCCCTTCTGGGGGGGGCCCGCCAGGGAGGCCTGGGGCCGAGCCCTCTCCCCCTGCCCTCCCCGGCCCGACGCCCCCCTCGGGGCGGGCCACGGTTGGGACCTTCTGCTCAGCGTGCCGCGGCGGCGGCCCCTGCGACACGAGGAGGAGGAGGAGGAGGAGGAGGAGGAGGAGGAGGAGGAGGAGGAGGAGGAGGAGGAGGAGGAGGAGGAGGAGGAGGAGGAGGAGGAGGAGATGCGCCTCGCAAGCTGAGTAGCGTGTCGCTCTGCCACGCGGGGCGGGAGGCTGGGGAAAGCTGGGGAGGAGCTCGGAACGCGGATGCCAGCGGGGACCCCAGACCCCCGACGTCATGATTCCCAACCATCCTGTGGTGTCGGGTCCTCGTTTTGAAGCGACGGTCCCCGCGTTCCTCCTGCTTCCTCTCCTCCCTCCTCCCCCTCCTCCCAGTACAGCGCTTCGTGGCCCCATAGGGAGCTCCACCGAAGGTTCCAGCGGGACCGCCCGCATGCGTCCTCCAAATCCAATGTGGCACACCCCTCACACGTTTCGTGGCCACATAGAGAGCTCCACCGAAGCCCCAGTGGGACCGCCCGCATGCGTCCCCCAAGCCCAATTTGGCACACCCCTCACACGCTTCGTGGACCCATCGGGAGCTCCACCGAAGCCCCCAGTGGGACCGCCCGCATGCGTCCCCCAAGCCCAATTTGGCACACCCCTCACGCGTGGCGTGGCCCCATAGCGAGCTCCATAGACGGCGCCAGCGCCACCGCCCGCATCCGTCACCCACACCCATGTCGTCACACCCCTCTCACGTTTCGTGGCCCCATAGGGAGCTCCGGCGAAGGCTCTGGTGCCACCGCCCGCATGCGTCACCCACACCCATTCCGGCACACCCCTTACGCTTTTCGTGGCCTCGCATGCGCCCACCGCACCCATTTCGGCACACCCACCACACGTTTCGCGGCCCCAGAGGGAGCCCCACCGACGGCCCCAGTGGCTGCGTTCGCATGCGTCCACCGCACCTATTTCGGCACACCCCTCACGCGTTTCGTGGCCCCACAGGAAATTCCACCGACGGCCCCAGTGGCTGTTTTCGCAAGCGCCCACCGGACAAATTTTGGCACACCAATCACACGCTTCGTGGCCCTATAAGGAGCTCCTCCGAATGCGGTGCATACTACGACGGTGCTCACAACTGCATATGGTTGGGGGCTTCGCCAAGCTAATTCTCAACCATCCTGTGGTGTTGGGCCCTCGTTTTGAAGAGACGGTCCCCGCCTTCCTTCCTCCCTCCTTCCTCCTCCCTCTTCTCATCCTCAGCACCGTTGTCAGCATCATCAGCATCATCGTCATCATCGTTCTCATCACCATCATCGCCATCATCATCGCCGTTATCGTCACCATCATCGACACCCATTTCGGCACACCCATCACACGTTTCGTGGCCCCATAGGGAGCTCCATCGAAGGCCCCAGTGCCACCGTCCACATGCGTCCTCCGCACCCATTTCGCCACACCGCTCACACGTTGAGTGGCCCCATAGGGAGCTCCACCGGAGGCCCTAGTGCAACCGTCCACATTCGTCCCCCACTCACATTTCGGCACACCGCTCACACGTTTCGTTGCCCTGTAGGGGGCTCCACCGAAGGCCCCAGTGCCACGGCCCGCATGCGTCCCCCGCACCCTTTTCGGCACACCCCTCACACGTTTCGCGGCCCCATAGGGAGCTCCACCGAAGGCCAATGCCACAGTCAACATGCGTCCCCCATACCAATATTTGGGCACACCTCTCACACGTTTCGTGGCCCCAGAGGGAGCTCCACCAAAGGCCCCATTGCCACCGTCCACATGCGTCCGCCGCACCCATCTCGGCACACCGCCCACACGTTTCGTGGCCCCATAGGGAGCTCCACCGAAGGCCCCAGTGCCACCGTCCACATGCGTCTGCCGCACCCATTTCGGCACACCCCTCACAGGGTTCGTGGCCCCATAGGGAGCGCCACCGAATAAGATATTCACAATTGCAATACTCAGAACTGCATATGGTTGGGTCCTTCGCCAAGCTAATTCCATGACGTCGACCCCAGAAGTCTCGCCCCATTCCTCGGGACCGGCTTTTCATCCCGAGTCGTTTTGTTGACGGCCCCGAGGCCCGGCGAGGGGGCCCCAAGGGCCCGACAATAGCGAAAGACTTGCCGTCGTGATTTTCTGGGACTGGGGCGTGCTCAGCGTGCTGCGCCGAGGCCTGGCGGGCAAGAGGCAGCGGAGCGACACGCGGAGCAGACACTCTCTACCGCCGACGCGCGGCCAGCGCAGACTCCTCCTCCTCCTCCTCCTCCTCCTCCTCCTTCTCCTCCTCGTCCTCCTCGTCCTCCTCCTCTCTCCTCCTCTCTCCTCCTCTCGCCTCCTCTCTCCTCCTCTCTCCTCCTCTCTCCTCCTCTCTCCTCCTCTCTCCACCGGCGCGAGGCCATGGACCACAGTGGAGGCCCGTCCACAGGAAACCGTCCACAGGAAACCCAACCCTGAGACCCCAGGACGTCCATTGTTTTTTTTTGCGTGGGAAGTTCACGCTTCCCACCGCAAAAGCATCGAAACCCATGAAACCTAGAGCACCCTGGAGGCAAGCAGAGTGTTTCTTGGCATGGGCCTCCACTGTATGGATCACCTCGAGGCTCGAGTGGCCTTCGCGACCCCCCACCCTGAGGCGGGTCGCAGCCACCGAGGAGGCGGAAACGGAGCAGGAGAAGCACCAGCGTGCGGTCATGGACTGTGGACAGCTCGAGGCTCGAGGAGCCTTCGCGTCTCCCCCCCCCCCGGCAGGTCGCAGCCGTCGGCAAGGCGGAGGCCGAGAGGAAGAGCTCCGGCCGAGGCCATGGAGGAGGAGGAGGAGGAGGAGGAGGAGGAGGAGGAGGAGGAGGAGGAGGAGGAGGAGGAGGAGGAGGAGGAGATGGAAGAGGAGGAGGAGGAGGAGGAGGAGGAGGAGGAGGAGGAGGAGGAGGAGGAAGAAGAGGAGGAGGAGGACCGCCTTGAGGCATGAGGAGCATCCGCGCTCCCGCCCCCCCAGGGGCGGCGCGCCTTGCTCTCCTCGATAGCCCGCAGCCTGCGCTTCGACAGCCCGCAGCCAATGGCCCGTGCGGTCCTCGCGGCAGCGGCGACGTCGCCGTCGTCGTCGTCGGCGGCGGCGTTACCCGCCGCGGTCGCCGCGGTCGCCGTCGCCACCGTCGAACTTCGGCTTGCCCGCCCGCCCGTCCTTCTCTCCCCCGCCTCGCCCTCCTTGCGTCGCTTCCCCCCTCCTCCACTTCACTTTCCCTTTGTCCCCCGCACGGAACTACGTAAGCATAGACGTTCTGAGGTCCGCGCGCACATCCAACACGCTGTTCTTTTTGTCGATTGCCTCGCCCCCCCCAACTCCCTGTCCCGTTCCCCTTCGCCCTCCCCACTTCTTCGCACAGTATGGCTTCCAACTCGCCATTCGACTTCCATTAGAGGAGGAGGCGGAGGAGGAGGAGGAGGAGGAGGAGGAGGAGGAGGAGGAAGAGAAGGAGAAAGCGAGGAGGAGGAGGAAGAGGAGGAGGAGGAGGAGGAGGAGGAGGAGGAGGAGGAGGAGGAGGAGGAGGAGGAGAAGGTTCTCCAGCCCTGCACCCCCTCACCTCGCAAGATGCTCTACTGCAGCAGGAAAGGGGGAACGTGCGCCGCCCTCCCCGCTTCCGACCTCGCCCCGGCACCCCCACCGCTGAGAACCTCGGTTCTTCGGACCCCCCCTCGACAATCTCTCCGCCCCGCCGCCCTCCCCGCCTCTGACCTCGCCCCGGCATCCCCACCACTGAGAAGCTCTGTTCTTGGGACCCCCCACTCGACAATCTCTCCGCCTCGCCGCCTCGCCCCGCCTCTGACCTCGCCAAGTACTGATGGGGGGGTGGTAGCGCCGGGACCCTCGGTGGAGCTCCCTATGGGTCCACGAAGCGCTGTACTGGGTGGGGGGTACGCATGCGGGCGGTAGCACTGGGGCCTTCGTTGGAGCTCTCTATGGGGCCACGAAGCGCTGTATGGGTGGGCGCATGCGGGCGGTAGCACTGGCCACGAGACGCTGCACTGGGTCAGGGTGACGCATGCGGGCGGTAGCACTGGGACCTTCGGTGGAGCTCCCCATGGGGCCACGAAGCGTGTGAGGGGTGTGCCGACATGGCAGGGTGACGCGGAGAGCAGAGGCAGGGATGGGAGGAGGGAGGAGGGGCAGCGGGAGAAAAGAGGCGGGAACGCGGGGCGCTGTCTCTGCAAAACGAGGACCCGACGCCGCAGTGATTGGGACAAAGACCTCCCGCCGTGTCTTTGCTCATGACTCGATGGGGCTTCGGGGGGCAGTTGAACCCACATTCGGCCAACACACGGCGGGCCAAAAGGAGCCCAGACCCAAACAGAACCCTCTTGCCATCTCTTGGGCGGCCGAGTTCTACTCTTCCGCGGAGCTTCCGCGGAGCTTTTCCGCCGAGGCTTCTCCGCCGCCCGCCGGCGGAGGCGGCCTCGCGCTTTACCTCCGCCGCTCTTGTTCCGCCGAGGAAGACACTCCCCGACCCCCGACCCCATCCTGCTTTCCAGGACGTCGGCCCACGGAGGCCTCGATGCAGTCCAAAGGGGCCCGCTTTCCATCCTGGAGCCGCTTCGTGACGGCCCCGAGGCGCGGCGGGGCCCGCCCCCCCCAGAAGCCGCAGATGGCGAAAAGCCTGCCGCCGTCGTGCTCTTTTTTCGGGGCTCGAGGGGGTCTGGGCATGCGAGTCGAGGAAGAAAGAACGGCACACACAGAAACTGTTGGCGCTCGGCGCGGACTTCTTGGATCTTTGCTGGCCCCCCTTCCCTGGCGCGCCTCCGGCGCCAGGGGCGGCGCCGGAGGCGCCGCCGGGGGGGCCCATCGCGGATCCCAGAAATCCGCGCGGCCCGAAATCAGTTCATGTTCATGCCGTTTTTTCCCCTTCGAGGGATGCCGACCCCCTTCTGGAACGCCCCACACGCCCCGAAGGCCCTCGGCTCCGGCGGGCCGCGAGCGGCGGTCGGGCACGACACACGCGCCGCACTCGTCGGCGACTCCGCGGAGGGTGCCGTGGGGTAAGAAGAAGCCAGGGCGAGGATACCATCGGGCGAGGATAAATCGAACTCCGGCGGCTCTGAAGGAAGTCTCGGGCGCCGCGGCCTTCTCAGAGCGTTCCGGAACGCCGAGAGCGTTCTGGAACGCTCTGGAACGGATTTCTCCTCGTCGTACAGTCGGGGCGTTGACCTAAGGAACCTTAAATAAGGAACGAGGCCCCGTTTTCCCGATACATTAAACTCAGATTTTCCATGGAAAACCTCAGGCAAACCCAAGGAACACTGCAAAGCAACGAAGGAACACGGAGCCCCTCCCCAACAAAAAGGGTTCCTTCTTCAGGGCCCCGACTGTAGCCCGTCCGATGGGGGGCACCCTGGGGGGCGGGCCAGGACCTCGACGGAGCTCTTCGTCGCGCTCCCAGGGGGCCCGACGAGGACGGTGTCGTGCTCCCCAGGCCCCCAACGGGGCCGATCGCAAACCACACCCCAGCGTAACCGCACCTCGGCGGCCAGCTCCAGGGGCCCAGGGGGGAAGTGAGAGCGGGCGGGCCTTCTCGGGAGGCTCCGAAGTCCACACATCTGCTGAGAAGCTTTCGCAGTCTTGCCCGAAGACATAGGAAACTACTCGGGCTGGCGGGCTTCTGAGAGGCCCCACCGCCTTCTGAGAGCACCTTCTCCTTCTCACTTCCGCCCCTCGCTCGCCGCCGAGAAAAGGTACCGATACGGCTGCTCGCCGTACCTCTCCCTGGGCTCGCTCTGAGGTTTCGAAGCGAATACAGCGGCGGCGACGAGGGCCTTCCAGGAGGCCCAACAATGCGAAAACGAAGGAAAGGTAGCGGCATGGGTACCTTTCCCCCTCTTGCCCGCCGCCGAATACCTTTTGTAGTTCAGAAGGGTACAGAAACAAATAACCGTCGATTCCCAGGAAAAATTGGAAAGTATGGGAAGTGTAGGGGGAGACGAAAATCCAGGAAATATGGAAAACATATGGGGGATCCTGGGACTTGTGCCTATTTATTTGTGCCACTGGGCCCCTTCAGTATAGATGAAGAAACAACGGCGCAAACACAAACTTTTGGCGCTCCGCGCGGACTTTTTGGATCTGCGCTGGACCCCCTCCCTGGCGCGCGGAGCGCGCCAGGGGCGGCGCCGGTGGCGCCGCCAGGGGGAGCCCGGCGCGGATCCAAGAAATCCGCGCGGAGCACCAAAAGTTGATGTTTATGGCGTTGTTGCTTCTTCGGCAGCAGTCGCCGCACTCTGCTGTCGGGTCGGGCGAAAGGGGGGGATAGCAAAGGGGGGGGGAGGTGAGAATCAGCTCACGTAGCTGATTTTCCCGGCGCCCCCCAGCGCCGGAGGCGGCTATGTATCAGCTGCCTGCAGCAAATTTCGCACCCTCCCCTTTCTTGAGCAGGGACAGGCCGTCCCGGCATTCCTATAGTCCTACCACGAAATGTTCTTAGAACCCGAAGCTGTTCTAAGAACCAAAACAGTTTTCTTAGAACATTAACCCGATGTGTTAAACCAAGACAGGCTCAACCAGAAATGCTCTAAGAACATGTTGTGGAAACCACAAAAAGGTTCTTAGAACATGGTTTGGTGGGACTACAGGCAGGCCAGGACGCCTCGCCACTGCTTGACCTTTCCCAGTCCCCCCGTTTCGTCCGGCCCGATCTGCTGCCCTGCCGCTGCCCTGGCAGCCCCGCGGCGCGCGCGGCGGCCGGGCGCCGGCGTCCTCTGCGAGTACCGCTCCGCAGCGGCGCCCTCAGCGGCGGCCTGCCGCTCGGGGAGGGGGGCTCGCGAGGAGGAGGAGGAGGAGGAGGAGGAGGAGGAGGAGGAGGAGGAGGAGGAGGAGGAGGAGGAGGAGGAGGAGGAGGAGGAGGAGGAGGAGGAGGAGGAGGAGGAGGAGGAGAGGAGGAGCAGCAGGAGGAGGAGGAGGAGGAGGAGGAGGAGGGAGGAGGAGGAGGAGGAAGGAGGAGGAGGAGGAGGAGGAGGAGGAGGAGGAGGACAGGGAGGAGAGTGAGAAGAGTGATGGGGGAGGAGGAGGAGGAGGAGGAGGAGGAGGAGGAGGAGGAGGAGGAGCGAGGAGGAGGAGGAGGAGGAGGAGGAGGAGGAGGAGGAGGAGGAGGTTGAGAGGAGGAGGAGGAGGAGGAGGAGGAGGAGGAGGAGGAGGAGGAGGAGGGAGGAGGAGGAGGAGGAGGAGGAGGAGGAGGAGGAGGAGGAGGAGGAGGAGAGGGCGGGCGGTCACTTATGGAGGGGCGGTTTCGGGTCGGTTGGGGGGGCGGTTTGCTTTACCTTACGCTCTCTCCCGTCGGCTTCTATGCATCAGGTCAGGAACGAAAGTAGTGGCCGCTCGGCTTCTTACACTCTGCGCGCCACGGCAACAGGCGGAGGAAGGTAGTCCGCATTGTCTTTCGCAGTGACGTCAATATGGCGGCGACAAAAATGAATAACAAAGAAGCGATGGCGCAAGGGACGCATGTTATTCATTCAAGAGACGCGCATACATGCGGAACCAGGAGTTATCTGCTCGGCAACGACAAGAGGGTTTAAAATGGATTCCTTGTTTAAGGATTTCAATAGAATTCTTCTTGTAAGGAGGATTTCAATGGGAATCCTTCTGTAGAGGATTTCAATGTGATTTCTTTTTTTTTCGCGGATTCTACACGAAATCCTTATGTAACATATTCAAATGTGATTCCTTCCGCAAGGGATTTCCATCATATTCCTTTGGTGAAGAATTTCAGTTGGACTCCTTTCGTAAAGAACATCAATACTATTCCTTTTGTAGAGGACTTCAACATAATTTCTTATGATCGCGTCTTCAGTTGTTCTCCCTCCTCTTCCCTAACCTCCTCCTTCTCATCCTTCTCCCCCTCCCTTCTCCCCGTGCGCTTCCTCGTTTCCCCCCACCCCCCCGCCCCTCCTCGGCGTCGTCGTCGTCGTCGTCCTCACCCTTATGATATCTCTCTATCCCTCTCTCTTTCTCTCTATCTCCCCCCCCTTCATTGACTTTCCTCGTTGCCTAATTATGTTTTTTCGGCGGCCCGACGTTCCAAGACGGCCCGCGAGGTCCCCGAGCCCCCCCCCCCCCCTCGGGTGGACAAGAACTATAGATGTAATTACTAGTGTGGTTTGATTTTTGGACTTGACTTCGGATTTTGCGTAGTGGCTTTTGTTCTGGCTTGAAGAATTACGGCTTGAGAAAAACCATTTGACGCGTTGGATGCGGCGGTTGCGGTGGTAGAAGCGGAGGCCCCACAGTCACCGCCACGCCCATTACCCAGTGGCGATGGAATGGAATTGGCGGTGGTGGTGATGGTGGATGCGCTGGTTGTGATGGCAACAATACAAGCAACACTATCCACGGTCGCACTCGCACTCGTCACAGCCAGTCGCGCCGCCCCCAATGACCTTCAAAGGGTGCGGGGGAGTCGGTGGAGTAGTAAATAAGATGGTGGTAGAAGCAGCCGCGGAAGTATGAACGGGGATTGGCGGATGCGGCAGTAGTGGTAGTTGGGGATCGCCTCCGCCGCCACCGCGACCACCGCCTGCCAAAGGCAGCGCTGGCCGCGGGATAAGGAAAAAGGGGAAAAAGGGGTCATTGGCGGTGGCGGAGGTGGTGGCGGCACAAACAACAGCAGTGGACGCATTCGCAGAAGTTGGTGGCGTGATGGTGGCGATTGGAAAGGTGGCGCCTCGACCACCACCGCAGCCACCACTGCCATCCCCCATGTGCACAAACTTCGCTGATGGGGTGTAGGTGCTGGCGGTGGCGATGGTGGTGGAACCAGCCGCACACCTACTAGTATGACTCGGTGGTGGTGGTGGTGGTGGTGGTGGCACTGGGGACACCGCCACCATCGCAACCATTGCCCTCACCGCCGCCGCCGCGCACTTACACAGAACGGGTGGTGATGGTGGCAACAGAATAGTGATGATGGCGAGGTTGTTGCGGTGATGGAGGCGATGGTGGCGGCGGGTAATTGCACCGTCAGTAAAGACGCTCGTGGACTTGAGTGTTGGCGTGTGTAGGGTGGCGTCGCATCCACCATCGCATCCACCGCTGCGGCCACCATCCTTGGCCAAGAAAGGGTAGTGGCGGTGGCGACTGGGCAGGATGGTGACGGTGGTTGATGTAGTTGTGGTGGTCACAGCAGCAGCAGAAGGTTTCGCAACTGCACAGCTTTATCATCATCCCCTCTCTCTCTTTCTCTCCCTCTCTCTTTCTGCTGGCCATCCACTTCGCTCGGTGAGGTTGCTGGTGGTAGTGGGGGGGATCGCATCCACCGCCGCAGCCGCCACCACCACCCTCTTTTCTCAGAACGGGTATTGGTGGTGGTGGTGGGGACGGATGTGCGGCGGTGTAGGCTATTGTGTGGGCGGTGGTTGCGTCCGCCGCATGAGTGTCGACAGATGTTGGTGTTTGTGGTGTTGGAAGGATTCGCAAAACCGCCGCCATCTCCATTCCTGATCCAGAATGGGTAGCGGCGGTGGCGGTGGAGTAGCGCTGGTGGTGGTGTAATTGTTTTACCGACAATGGGGGTGTAGCATGATTGCTAACAACCGTTGTAAGAATGAGCGGTTGTGTTCGGCAGTCGTGCAGGTATTAGTTCGAAGAACGTGGAGGTGCCGGTGGTGGTGGCATTGGGAGCGCCTTCACCAACGCCGCCAGCATCACCGCCGCCACCATCATCCTGGCCCAGAACGGATGGTGGTGGTGGCGGTGTTGTCTTGGTTGTGGAGTAGCGTTGGTGGTTGTGGAGGCGTGGTGGCACTTGATGCAGCATGAGTAGAAGCACTCGTAGAAGTGAGTGGTGGTGGTGGTGGTAGGAAGAGCCGCATCCACTACCACATCCACCACCGCCAGCCCCTTGGCTAGAGAAGGGTAGCGGCGGCAGCAGAGGAGTAGTATTGTTGTGGGGGATCAGGCACACATTCCTTTAGAAGAAGAATAACGGCTTTTTGAAAAAAAACCTTTCGTGGTGAAATACAAGGGGATTCCTTTTGTAGAAGGTTTCAATCGAACGAACTCCTTTTGTACAGGGTTTCAATCACATTCTTTTCTGTGAAGGACTTCAGTGTAATTCCCTCTGTAGAGGCTTTCAATGGTAGTCCTTTTGTACAGGATTCCAACATGATCTCTTGCGCAGGGGATTTCAATCGGATTACATGTGTGAGAGATTTCAATGCGTCTTCTTTTGTACAAGATTTCAGTCGGACTTCTTTTGTAAAAAGATTTCAATGTGATTCCTTGTGTCGAAGATTTCAATATAAATCCTTGTGTAACGGCTTTCCATGGGATTCTTTCTGTAACAACTTTCAATCGGATGCCTTTTGTCCCGGTCTCCAATGATTTTCCATCTGTCGCGGCTTTCAATCGGATTCCTTATGTCACGGCTTTCAATCGGATTCCTTTTGTAGCGGCTTTCAATCCGATTCATTCTATACGGGCTTTCACTAGGATTCCTTTTGGAGCGGCTGTAAGCCGGATATCTGATGTAGCGGCTTTCACTCGAATCCCTTTTGTAACGGGTTTCATGAGGATTCCTTTTGCAACGGCCTGTCATAGGATCCCTTTTGTAACGGAATTCACCAATATTCCTCTGGTAACAAATTAAACCCGATCCCTTTTGTAACGGCTTGCAATACGACTCCTCATGTAACGGCTTTCAGCGAGATTCCTTTTGCAACGGCTTTCAATCGGATTCCTCTTGTAACGGATTTGAATAGGATTCCTTCTGTCATTGCTTTCAGTTGGATTCCTTTAGTAATTCCTTTTGTGGAGGATGTCAATACGTTTCTTTTTGTGGTGGACCTCATCAGAATTCCATCCCAATCACTTTTCCAACATATGTTTCTTAACTTGTAAACCGAAAGAAAGGTTTCGCCGGTGTTTCCATCATCTGTAAATATGTATGTACATATCACAATCAACTGATTTCGGCTGACGTACATTTTCGGAGTCTCAAGCGCTTATATGTAATGTTTTAAATTAACAAAACAGGTTTCGCTTGATACCCTCTGACAATGCACGCCAACCGAACTCATTGGAGTCAAAACCTTTTGAAGGAGTCACGTGCGACACCTTTTTTGTTTAAAAATATTTAAAATAATAAAGAATTAACAACATCAAACAACATAAGACATGAACATTGTAGAAGAAGAGATTATGGTGGTATTCTGATAAGCCAGATTCCGTTTGTAGCGCATTTCCATCGGATTCCTTTCTGTGAAACGATTTCAATAGGATTCCTTTTTGGGGAATAGTTCAAAAGGATTCATGTTGAGAGAGAGAGAGAACCAACAAAAATAAAGACGAGACAGAAGAAGAGACAATCAAGAAAGAAAACCTCCAAATGGAAAGGCGAGACAGAAAAAGCAAGAGACAAAGACGGACAGCACAGACGCTCCCGAACCGTCCCGAAACCGCCCCTCCAGAAGTGACCGCTCTCTCTCTCTCTCTCGGAGGAGGAGGCGGAGGAGGAGGATCAATCCTCCCTTTCTTTTGCTCCATTATCGCCCGCCTTTTGTCTCGGGGGAAGGCGAAAGGGGTGGATAGCCCAGGGGCTGGGCATTGCACGTGTTCGCATGAGAGCGTCTCTACGAGTAATCGCACGTTCGATCGGAGCCCCTGGGATGCACAGGTCTCGCTCCAGAAAGCCCTGGAGCCGAAACACGTTGCACATCTCGGATGCCTGATCTTTAACTCCGCCGGGGTCCGCCGGCCTTCCGCTCGCTTCCGCCGTCGCATCTGCCCCTGGTTTTCTCTCGCTGGCGTCCGCAGGCCTAATGTTTTTTGGTTTGGTTTGGAGGGGGGGGGGCACTGCGCCCAGACACCTTCCAGACGGACGCTCTGGGAGGTGCCCAGCTCAGAACTCTGCAGAGATCGGCGCACCTAGAATACCGCCCTCCGGCCTTCTGCCAGCCTCCGCAGGTCGAAGACAATAGGCACTCTCGCGACCCCTCGATGGCGAGGGCCTCTCTGGAGTGCCCCTGCGCAGTGCCACCCCCATGGGCTGCCCGCCCCCGAGCGTCTCCCGGAGGTCCAGACAGGGCGCAACATGCCCAAGAGCCTCGGCCTTCGACCCCCCAGAGCTCGCTCCCCTCCGCGCCTTCCCCCTCGAGGACGACGGGGAGGAGGAGGAAAAGGAGGGTCCTTCACCTCGCCCCTCGCACTTCCTTCCTCCTCCGCCTCCTCCTCGCTCCTCGCTCGCCGGGGAGCTGCGATTCGGGGGCGACCGGCTCGGGGGGGGGGGGGACCCATCCACGTGGAATTGGCGACACGTCGCCGATAGATCGGCGATGAGCTCTCGCAAGCGAAACCGCACGCCCCTGGGCGCGGCGGGCTATCAGGCCCCTATCGGCGATCGGTGGGCGACCTGGGGCAGATGCTTCCCCCCCTGAGCCTCCCCCCCAGTGATCCTCGTCGTCTGGTTTGCGGGGCAGAGCTCGGGTCTCCAGCGGCTGTTCCTGACGCCCTGGGCGCCCCCGGGGACGCTCTCGCTGAGGCGCAGCTGCTGGAGAGCACTCGGAAGCCGGAGCGCCAAGAGCAAGGGAAAACGTCCGAGAAGCCTGAACGCCTGACCGCGAGCCTACCCCCCCCATCTAACGCTGCACCTGAAAGAGGAGCGTCCCCCCCCCTCCCGGCGTGGCCTCTGCTTTGACGCCCTGCGGCTCATCGCCGCTGGCGGCTGGCAGCTCGGCCTGCGTGCCCGGGGTCGGCGACGTCATCGCCGGTCGTCGTCGTCGTCGTCGTCGCCGGTCCTCGGTCGTCGCCGGTCGTCGTCGCTGTCGTCGTGGTCGCAGGAGTCGTCGTCGTCGTCGTCGTCGTCGTCGTCGTCGTCGTCGTCGTCGGCGTCGGCGGCGGCGGCGGCGGCGGCGTCAGCGTCGGCGTCGGTTGAGGGGGGCCGCAGGCCGAGCGGCGCGACGCGACGCGCGAGCGCGCTCGTGTGGTGCGCCGTGCCTCTCCCGTGGGCAGCCCGCCCCCGTCGCTGCCGCCCCGCCGCGAGGGACGCGCGGTCCTCCACTCGCCCAGCGGCCTCGCGCTGCGGGAGCCTTGCTCAGGAGGCCTTCCAGCCAGGGTCCGAGGATGGGGCCCATTTTCCACCACCACTACCATAGGTAGGAGAGGGAGGAGGAGAAGGAGGAGGAGGAGGACGAGGAGGAGGGGGAGGAGGAGGAGGAGGAGGAGGAGGAGGAGGAGGAGGAAGAGGAGAAGGAGGGCGATGCACCCGCGGCGCCGACGCGGAGGACATCGGGCTCCACATCGAATCTCATCCGCAGATGCATCGGCGATGCGGCGGGATCCTGCGATCCCATCAGCTCGGAGCCCATTCAGGAGATCTAACTTCCCCATAGCGCGTCGCCACGGCGGCCCTGGCAACACGCTATGCCCTGCGAGCCGATAGCGTTTCCCTCCGCTCGGCGGGGCGGGAGGCTGGAGACAACTCGGGACGTGGCCGCCTCGGGACCGCGAAGTGCATAAACGTGTCGCAGGCCGAGGCGCGGTGGGCCAGAACTGGCGGAGCGACACGCTGTCCCAAAGTCCCCGACCGTAGATTGCTGGCCCTGCGGAGGCATCCGCTTGCAGTGAGCAGGGGCCGACCGTCCCGGTGTTCCTATAGGCCTAGCACGACATGTTCTTAGAACCAAAGAACGTCCGAATCAGAAAAGCAGTGTTCTAATAATAGGAAGCCGATGCCTTTGAACAAGACGGTCTCAGCCAGAAAAGGTCCAGGAACCTTTCTCGGCGGTGGACAAACCTCCCTTTAGCAAACCTCCCCTTAGTGAAACGGCCTGGGACCGAAACCGACGGACCTGGGGAGGGGGGCGCGCGCGACCGCGTGGCGCAGCCAGGAACTCTTGTAGGGACCTATGAAAGAGGAACTTCGAGGGAGCCTGTATTGCAACATCGTTGATGCGTCCTGGGTTTATAGCGGTCCTCCCTCCTCCTCCTCCTCCTCCTCCTCCTCCTCCGCCTCCGCCTCCTCCTCCTTACCTTTTCCTCCTCCGCCTCCTCCTCCTCCCCCTCCTCCTCCTCCCCCTCCTCCACCTCCTCCTCCTCCTCCTCCTCCTGCTCCTCCTCCTCCTCCTCCTCCCCCTCCTCCTCCTGGACTCCTCCTGCTCCATCCTCTTCGTCCTCACTCGCCGCAGGACCTCTCCGCAGGGGCGCCTCACGTCTGCCCCGGCAGCCCGGTGCTTTCACATCGCCCGCCGCCCACCGGGAGGAGTGGGCGGCAACCGACGCCTCGGGCGCCAGAGCCAAACGCGACCTCGGTACAGTCGGGGCGTTGGCCTAAGTCGGCAGGACCATAAGGGGTACTAAAACCGTAGGGGTACCAAAACCGGGTGGGGTGGGGCGACAAAACACACATGTTCATCAGAGCACAAATGTTAACTTTGACCTGATCCAATGTGGCCCCCTCGCGCGCCCATGTCTACATCCCCTTAGTAAGGAACGATCAAGGAGGAACGAAGCCCCTTTTTTTCCCAGGCAAGTCCATGAACTCTGGAGGAGCGCCAAGGGGCTCGCCGCCCAAACGGGAGCAAGGAGCGGAGCGCACGCAAGCCCAAGGAAGGGCCGAGCCCCTTTCGAAGAGTAGGTGAACCTTCTTCAACGCCCCGACCGTATTCCCTCCTCGCCTCTTCCCCCCCGGAAGCGCGCGCCAGTGCCCACCGCGTCGGCGTCTCCCACGCGGGAGCAGCCTGCCGAGGAGTTGGAAGCAGACGCGGCGGGACTCGCACCGGACGCCTGGCCACTCGAGGGCCGAGCGCTGGAACGTCAAGTGGCCACTCAAGGGCCGAGTTCCAGAGGCCCTGGATCCCAAACGTTGGCATCCCTCGGGAGGGCAACTTCTTACCTCCGAGGGCCACCCGCTGGCGACGCTGCCCCCGCTTTGCTTCCGCCCCGCCTGCGGCCGAGGCAGAGATGCCGATCCCAGGGGATCTGCAGTCGAGGTCTATCGGAAGGACGGGCGGCATGGACGCACGGGCCCTGGACGCGGAAGCTGGCCCTTTTTTAGGCGGCGGGCTGCTGGAGCCCTTCCAGGCTGGCCGGTCAGAACCGCGAAGGAGGGGCCGCAGAGGCAAGGAGGCAAGGGTACCCTGAGGACACCCGTGCGTCCTCACTATGAGTTTTCGCTGTAGCAATGACATAAGCGTCACAACTCGGAGGTCCGCTCGGATTTTTCAGATCGGCGCTGGGCCCCCCTGGCGGCGCCTCCGGCGCCGCCCCTGGCGCGCTCCGCGCGCCAGGGAGGGGGGTGTCCAGCGCCGATCCGAGGAATCCGCACGGACCTCCGAGTTGTTCTGTTCATTATGGAGGGGAAGAAGCAAGGGATCATGACCAAGAGTGCACGCGGAAACGTCGTGTCGATCTTGGTCAGCATCGACATTGGCCAGCGTCACTTCGTGAAACATCTTCGCGACTCGGCGACGGCCGACACGGCCCATGACCAAGATCGGCATGGGCAAGAGCCCGCGACATCTTGGCCATGGCCCCCGTTGTTCTTCCCTCCATGTCGTTGCTTGCTCCCCCGAACCCCGCCGTCGCGGGCCACCAGGCCAGGCTTCAGGAAAACCGCTGTGGGCCTGGTTCCCGCTTGGGCCCCCAGTTTCCGCAGCAGGAGTTCGGTGCCGCCGGGCTTTCCGACCCTTTGCTGCCCGCCACCGGCCCGAGGCTCTTCCTTCCCGACCCGCGCCAGCGTTCGCAGGCCTAGGCGGCGCACGGTAGAGCCCACGATGAATGGCCGTACGCCGTCGCCTCCTTTTCGGAGCGTCGTCACCTCCCCGGCGCGAAGAGCTACCAGGGCCTCCCCCGGGAACATCCCGAGGGCCATCCCTGAGATAGCTCCAGCAAGCCGTCCAGTGGTCTCGGCGCACAGCTGCGGACCTCCGAGCTGTCATGTTCATGTCGTTGCTTGTGCCCCTGAACCTCCTGTGCCAGCTCCTCGACACCGCCTGCACCCCGGGCCCCGCCCTCTCCGGCCGCCTGAGGCCCCGCCCGCCTGTGCCCTGTCTCCTCAATTTGAGCTGTGCGTAGCCCGCCTAGCTTTTTGCGGAAGAGGTTCGCTCTCGCCCCGCCGACCAAAACAAATTGTGCCCCTGAACCCCTCGGCCCCTCGAAGGCGCGGCCCTTGCTGGCGCCCCCCCCCCCCCCGCGCGGGCATCCGGCTCCCGCCCAGGGACGTCCGCCGCGCCGTGCGCGCCTCCAGCCTCCCGATCTCAGGTCGTGGCCCGTCCCGCCCCAGCTGCTCTCGGGTGTTGCCCTGCTCCTCCTCCTCCTCCTCCTCCTCCTCCTCCTCCTCCTCCTCCTCCTCCTCCTCCTCCTCTCCCTCCTCGTCGGCCCCCCCCTCCTCTCCCTCCTCGTCGGGCTCCTCGCCTCTCGAGCTGTAGAGGGCAGAAAATTCACCCCCATGATAATCACCCCGACAGGCGAAGCCTCTTAGTGAACGCACCCAGGGAAGGAATCGAACAGGGCAAGGCCGTTTGGTAAACGCCCAAGGCCGTTTAGTGAACGCCAGTTGCCGGGGTCTGGGCGGCTGTTCCTCCCTTGAGAAGGGGTCCGGGCCCGAGGGGTCCCCAGCTTTTCGAGCCATTCTGGAGCCCCTGGGCCACTGGGGCCCTCTGGTAAAGGAAAAACAGCGACATAAACATAAACTTTCGGAGCTCCACGCGGGTTTCTTGGATCGGCGCTGGGCCCCCCTGGCGGTGCCTCTGGCGCCGCTCCTGGCGCCGCCCCTGGCGCCGCCCCTGGCGCGCTTCGCGCGCCAGGGAGGGGGTTCCAGCGCAGATCTAAGAAATCCATGCGGAATGCAGAAAGTTCATGTTTAGGCAATCTTTGTTTCGAATTGTGGGGCGCCTGGGGCCCTCTGGGCCTCGTCGGCGGTGCTCTCTGAGCCGTGGGGGTCACCTTGGAAACCCTGGGGGAACCTCGGGCCAAGGACACTTCTGACAACACTCGCCCGTCGGGATCCCCCGAAACCGTGTGGTGACGGACCACGTGGGGACCTCGGACTCCTCAACGACCTCACCGCGCGGTCCGTCACCGCAGGGCTTTTGGACCCTGGAGGCCCCAGTCGCCAGAGACTTCCCTGGAGAACGACCCGAGCTCCAAAACCGTGCGGCGACCCCGAATCCCCGCTGACTCTCCACGCGGTTCACCATGTCGTTTGTAGAGGCGTCCCAGATGGGATCCGAGTAGATGGGGTCGGAGGATGGCGCCACATCGACGATACGTCGACGATACACCGCCGATGCATCGGCCACGCTGGCGATGCATTGGCGACGTCGGCGTGGGAAACATCGGGCTCCACACCGAGCCGCATCGGCGATGCATCGCCGATGCATCGCCGATGCGGCGCGATCCTCCGACCCCATCTGCTCGGACCCCGTCTGGGAGGCCTAGATTCCGGCACTCGGCAAGGGGATGAGCATCCTTCGACCCATCCGTATCCCAACTGAAGTGGCCTGGGCCCCACTGGCCAATGTAACCCTTCTAGGTGGATATGGGCTGTTCCCTTCGAGTTTCGAGTGGCATATCCCCAACTTTTGTGGTGGGATGGTGGGACGCTGGATGGGTCCCGGGCCTCCGACGTCATGAATTTTCATAACGTCGACCCCCAGAAGCCTCGACCCCTTCACGGGGACAAGTTTCCATCCCGAGCAACTTTCTGACGGCCCCGAGGCCCCGCAAGGGCCCTCAGATGCCGAAAACAGCGAAAAACCCTCCGCCATGGTTTTTTCATGACCCGAGGAGATCGGTGAACCGATGCTGATTGGTGGCACGCACCAGGGGGTAGGGGAACGGGGGAAGGCTTCTTAGAAGGAGGCTGCTTCGTAGAAGGCGCCGGCCTCATATCTGTAGATCAGGCCCACGCCTTCTAAGAAGCAGAGGTGCTTCTAAGAAGCCTTCCCCCCTCCACCTTACCCTTGTGGATGTCATGGCAATGGACATTCTGACAATCCTATCATTGAACTAAAGATGTGTACATGTACTAAACTTGTTTTAAACACGTTTTTTTTGTTGTTGTAAAACATGTTGAGTACATGTTTGAAACATTTTTTGGACATCTGGACATTCTATGGCAACATGCTTCCTCTCCATTGATCGACTTCCACAACCTTACCCCCCCGTCTGCGCGTGGCTGGTACAAAGGGGAGCTCGGAGCGCCGGCGAGACGGCCTCGCCCGGCTCGCCAGTCCGGGAGCTCTCGTTGCTCCAGCGCTTCATCGCCGCGGCGGCTCGGCGGCTGTCTCGGCGCGTCGGCCGCGGGGCACCTTTGGGGGGGGCTCTTCGCTCGCCGTCGCTCGGACGTCCATCCATCGTGCACTTTTCGATCTCGTATTTTTTTTCTGGTCGCAACATGACCCAAGGTGCTCCTCGATGGATCTCGCCGGGGGCAACACGCACACGTCCGAGCGATGCCAAATTCTCAAGGGCCAGGAGGATCCGCCATCGTGCCCACATGGCACGTTGAGGCGTGCTGCAGCCAAGATGCTGCAACACAGAACGCGAAATAAGAAACAGCGCCTCTTTTTGGCACCAACAATGCCTGAGTGTGCGAGGAATGCTAGAGGAACAACCACGGAATGATTGAAGGAACAGGGAGCCCCTTCCGAACCCAAAGCGGTCCTAATTTCACCGTCTTGACTGTAGAATGCCAAGACGCCCCCGAGAGGGACCCAAGAGTGGGAAAACGAGCCCAGAAACCGAGCTTCCTGCCCCAAGAGGCCCCCAATCAGGCCCCGTGGCCTTCTCGAGTAATTGCCACCACCCAGAATGCTGCGCTGGCACGGTGGCGGAATTGCCGAAGGCAACTGGGAATGGCACCTGTAATCCAAGCGTTGCAATCTTTTTGCACTGTGGCGAGTGCGGGGACGTGGGACGGACGACTCTGTAAAGGAGCTGCCATGAGCTAGGATGCTTTCGTGGTGTAGGATCAGCGCTGGCATCAGAACGCTGTGCTGCACTTTTGAAGCAAATGCGCGGCGATAGCTTCTGGTTCCCTGCGCATAGAAAGCTGTGCAATGCACTCGAGGCTGAACTCTCAGGGTGCTTTGGTGATGAAGTAAATGGCTTCCGTCGTTAGGGAGCCGAGCCATGATTGGCTCATCAGTGCTCTTCAAATTTTGGTCGCACGTGTTTGGAACCACCTCTGGACATGTTCTCTGTCGTCGATTGGGCGAGGGCATTTGCGGGACAGCTGCGATGGCATGGGCTGTCGTATGATTCTGTAGCGGCGCCCAACGGGGCGGCCAACGGCCAGTGGGCCACAACCGAAATATACCGCGGCTATGCAATGTGATGCCGCCTGTAGTTGTGACGTATTCAGCAGGTACCAGACACGAGACGTCTATAAGACAGTGAGTTCGAGCAGCCGATTTGGTGCAGTGCAAAGCAACGCGCTGCAAAACATGCAAACAAATGCAGGCGGCAACCTGGAGAAGACGGGATGCAACGGGATGGCAAGGGGGCGGTACCGGTGCGGGCACGAGCTGAACATACGGACAACGCAGCGAGTCCCCCAGAAACCAAGTAGGACCCATCAGTGCAAGCACTGTTTGGGGAATCGCTGGGTATTAGCATCACTGTGGGCTGGCAAATACGAGACGCGTAACATCTGCGAGCGTCTTGAGAGGGCCGCAAGATGACCCAAAGAGTGCCCCAACAAGGCCCGCAGTGGCCTCGGGGAGCCCAAAGGGCGCCCGTGGAAGCACTACTGAGGCCGGAGTATGGTCCCGAACGCTCCCGTCAAGGCCCCGCACTTCTCAAGACTCCTCAACAGGAGCTTCAGAGGGGTCAAGGACAGCACAGGATACCCAGAGACAACCAGAGCGGGTCCCAAGAAGCCCACAAGAGGCCCCAAGACGACAGAGGCCTCCAATGTAGCGGAGGAGAGCCTCAAGACGGCCCAAGGAGTGTCCCTAACGGGCCGAAGAAGGCCCGAAGAAACCTCCAAGACTGTTCCAATATGGCCTAGAAGAGGACCCAAGAGAGCCCCAATACGGTCCAAGAGGGAAGCCGCCAAGAAGACTAAACAGACCCCATGACCAACCCACGACGCCCCGAGAGGCGCGATGATGCCGAATAGGCGCCCCCCAGGGTGGCCCACTGTTCGGCCACAGGGCTACTCGCCAGAGGCGCCTTCGAAATGGCACGCGAGCAGGTAAGAACGAACAATCTTAATCTGACTGTTGTTGCTGTTGGTGCTGCTGTTGTTGTTGTTGCTGCTGTTGTTGTTGCTGGTGTTGTTGTTGTTGTTGTTGTTGCTGTTGGTGTTGGTTTGTTGTTGAGCTCTCACGACGGAAGAATAAGTATTGTTGACCCCCCCTCCGGTGACCATCGTGTTTTCGATTGAAAGGCTTCCCCTGGGGCTCGCACCCCGCTTTTTACCAGGGACAGTCACGGGGCTCAAGCTGGGCCCCTGGCCCCCGGATTACAACAACGACGGCTCCAGCCTGAGACCTTCACAATTTAGCTTAGACTCCCGCTCCCGCCTGAGACTTCTTCGCATTTTACTCAAGATTCGCGCTCTCGCTTAGGATTTCCTTACAATGTTTTCCGGAATCGCTTTCTCGCCGCTCCGAAGTCGCCCTCTCGCTGGGAGAATTACTTGCAAGTTACTCAAGAATCGCGCTCTTGCGTTGGAATTCCCCGCAATTTCCTCAAGCGCGGCGCTCCCGACACTCAGGCACCCAGGAGTCACGCTCGCGCTCAGGACTCCCTCACAGCTTATTTAGGAATCGGGATCTCGCTGCCCTTCGTGGCATCGTTGCAGCCCTTCGTGGCCTCCTCGCTGCCCCTCGTGGCCCCGTGGCATCCCTTCGTGGCCCCCTCGCTGCCCTTCGTGGACCCGTCGCTGCCCTTCGTGGCCCCCTCGCTGCCCCTCGCGGCCCAGTTGCAGCCCTTCGTGGCCCCATCGCTGCCCTTCGTGGCCCCATTTGCAGCCCTTCGTGGCCCCCTCGCTGCCCTTCGTGGCCCTGTTGCAGCTCTCCGTGGCCCGGTTGCATCCCTTCGTGGCCCCCATCGCTGCCCTTCGTGGCCCCGTAGCAGCCCCTCGTGGCCCCCTCGCTGCCTTTCGTGGCCCAGTTGCAGCCCTTCGTGGCCCCATCGCTGCCCTTCGTGGCCTCATTGCCCCTCGTGGTTCCCGCTCGTTCGCGCCCGTCGTGGCCCCATATTCGTGCGATTCGTGGCCCCGCTGTCGCCCTTCGCGGCCCCTTCGCTACCCTTCGTGGCCCCGTTGCTGCCCTCAGTGGCCCCCCATCATTCCTACCCGTCGTGGCCACGTGCGCATGCCCTTCGTGGCCCCGCTGTCGCCTTTTGTGACCCCGTCGCTGTCCTATGTGGCCCCGTTGCTACCATCGGTTGCCCCGTCGTTGCCCTCTGTGGCCCCGCATTATCTGCCTTTCGTGGCCCCATGCGCATGCCCTTCGTGGCCCCGCTGTCGCCCTTCGTGGCCCCCTTCCTGCCCTTCGTGGCCCCGCTGTCGCCATCGCTCTCGCTCTCGCTTTCGCTCGTTGTCGTCGTCGTCGTCATCTTCGTCGTCGTCGTCGTCGTCGTCGCCATCGTCGTCGTCTTGTCGGTCCCCTGTCCGTCCCTCTTGGAGTCGGGATGCCGCCGATCAGCGGTGCCGCTGGCCAGCCCGACGGTCCGCGGCCGCCCCGCCGCTTCCCGGGGCCCAGCCTGCAGTGAAGAAAGATGTACCCCCCCAAAGGGGCACGATCGAAGACGAAAAGAGCGGGGGTATCGAGGGTTCGGGAAATACGCGTTGAATGGCACCCGAGCAGATCAGAGCAGTCTCAAACTGATTGTTGTTGTTGTTGTTGTTGTTGTTGTTGTTGTTGTGGTTGTTGTTGTTGTTGTTGTTGTCGTTGTCGTTGTCGTTGTCGTTGTCGTTGTCGTTGTTGTTGTTGTTGTTGTTGTTGTTGTAAGTGTTGTTGAGGTTGTTGCTAATGTGGCTGAATTCTCATCTCTAACATAAGCATGTTTGATCTCCCTTGCAGGGTGACCATCGTGCATGCGCCTTGCGCGACATTACACGTACGGACATTCAGCAACACATCGAGATTCTCCACCGTGCTCCATGGCACGCTGAAGCGTGGCAGAATAATGCCAGGTGCTGCCTGGCAGGACACACAAATAACTACACACAAATAAAACTAGTCCCCATACGTTCTCATATCTTCTGGGTTGTTGTCTTCCCCCCAACTTCCCATACTTTCCCATAGTTTCTTTGGAATTGACGATTAATTGTGTCTGTGTGTTTTTTCCTCCAGATATTCAGAACGATGGAGCCGCGCTCCCGGGACCGCGACCCTTCGAAACGAAAAATGCCGTGTCCACGTCCCGAGCTGCCAAGACGGCCAGGGAAGGCCACCAGGGCCACCAGGATGGCCCAAGCTGCCTCGCAGATGGCCCAAGACCGCCCCAGGGCGAGGAGGAGGAGGAGGAGGAGGAGGAGGAGGAGCACTACGGCCTCAAGACGGGTCAAGATGCCTCCAGGAGAGCCTACAAAGGCCACAAGTGGAGCCCGAACAGGGTCCGAATGAACCCAAATCGCTGATCTCCGTTAAGGTTGCTTCTGGAGGGGCCCAAGCCGGCCTTGAAAGGCCCTTTGACGGTCCAAGGGGGCCCCATGACGGCCAAAGAAGGCCCCATGACGGCCAAAGAAGGCCCCAAGACGGTGCAAGAGGACACCTAGATGGCCCCTAGGGACCCCCAGGACTGCACCACAGGAGTCCAAGACAGCCCCAAGACGGACCAAATAATTTCCATGAGAGTTCCTCAAGAAGTGAAGACGAAAGGTGAACATCTGACTGCCTTCCTTCTCCTCCTCTTCCTTCTCTTCCTTCTCTTCCTGCTCCTGCCCCTCGTTCTTGTCCTCCTCCTCATCATCATCATCATCAGCATCATCACTACCATCATTATCATCATCATCACCATCATCACCCTCATCCTCATCAACAGCTTTGTCCTCATCATCATAATCAGCATCACCATCAACATCAACATCATCATCGCCATTATCACCATCATCGATAGCATCATCCGCATGACCGTCAACGTCATCATCATCCACATCATCGCAATCAGTATCATCACCATCACCATTACCATCACCATCATCGTCATCAACATCACCAACATCAACATCATCGTCATCATCATCATCATCATCATCACAGTCATCACCATCATCATCATCATCATCATCAGATTCGTCATCTTTCGCATCTGCATATGCATCAGCATCATCATCCCCACCGCCACCATCATCATCATCATCATCAGCAACATCACCACCATCATCATCAGCATCACTGTCATCATCATCACCATCATCACACGTATCACCATAATCATCAACATCACCAATCCACATTATGTTCAGCATCATCGTCAGCATTATATGGCCATCACCATTGCCAACATCAGCATCATCATCGCCATCACCAGCATCACCAACGACATCACCATCACCATCACCATCATTATTAGCACCATCATCAATCACCGACATCTCGTCACCATCGTCAACATCAATGCCACCATGGGTATCATCATCATCATCATCATCACCATCATCATCGTCATGGTTCCAATCACAAGCAGCACCATCATCATCCACTACCGCCGCCACCATCACCATGCATATAACTATCATCATCATCATCATCATCGTCCTCGTCATCACCGTCACCATCATCACCGTAATCATCAATTACCACCATCATCAGTATCGTCGTCAGCATCGTCATGGTCATCATCATCGTCAGCAAAGCGTCGTCATCACCATCACCAGCATCACCAACAACATCCCCATCCCCATCACCATTATCATTACCACAATCAGCATCGTCAGCATCAGCATGAGCATCATCATCATCATCATCATCATCATCATCATCATCATCATTCGCAACAGCAGCAAGATCATCATCATCATCATCCTCATCCTCATCCTCATCATCATCATCATCCTCATCCTCATCCTCATTATCATCATCATCATCATCATCATCATCATCATCATCATCATCATCATTGGCGTCGTCATCATCACCGACAACATCAACATCGTCCTCATCATCCTCACCACGGCTCCCCCAAGCCCGGGGACATGAGGTGCGACGCGTGACGGCCTCCTATGCCTCCGTCAGCAGTCGCCGCCCAGAGAGCTTGGCTGGCACGGTGGCGGGACTCGTGGGGGATGCCTGCCTGACACTACTGCGGGTTATTTGCAATCGAGAACGCCCCCCCGCAAACAACGAGCAGCATGCCTGTCCGAGGCTGCCCAGACCTTCGGCCGTCGACTGCAGATGCCGCACATGGCGTCCACAATGCATACCGAAAGCTCTCACGGGCTCTGGCAGTGGAGCGCGAATGCGCGCATACGCCGAGCGTCGCCCCGGGACAACCCAAACAAAGGCCAACATGCACATCCGAACCTACCCCGGGCTTCGGGAGTCGAGCAAGAACACCAGACGGGTGGTGAACACCAGATTCGAGGCTGAAGGCATGCCTTCTGGCTTGCGATCAATCGCCACGCGGGTTCAAATCATGTGTTGTTGCCCGACGTGATTGGTTCGCATGCCCCATCAAAACAAGCCCCCATCAGAGGGCCGAAGGCTGGGCAACCCTCAGATCACCATGGGGGGAGGGGTGCGCCCTTGACAAAAGCAACGCGTGCCACGTTGCCCTACGACGCGAAACGCTGTTTCAGAAAAACCGATGCGCCACGCCACGTTACGTGCCATTGCAATGTTGGGAACCCTGGTGCATCGCTTACGACTCCACCGCACCAAGACATACTGCGCCAACCTGAACGGCAAAGCCTTACTCCAAATTACGCTATAGTGCGTCACGCTACGCACCACTGCGCTACACCACGCTACACTACTCTACACCACATTACACGTCACTTCATCGCAATATGCTACGATACACCACCCTCCACCACACTCGAACGTCGTACCATCACGCTACTACCCGAGGCCGCGCCGTGCTGCGCTAAAATACGATACGCTAGATAAGCACGTCGCACCACATCATGTTGCATTGCGCTAACTTGCGCTGCAATGCAATGCAGGCCGTATGCACGACACCACGTTACACCATACCGCACAGCACCACATGCCATTATTTTTCACATCGCTTTAATTCGCTACAGTGCACTGCGTTGTATTACAATGCGCTTCCCTGGCTGGCTTCCGCCATACTCGAACCATGCAGTGCGATACCTTCCGGCATGGTAGAGCACACACACACAAACACACTCACATACACGATACTCCTCTCCGATACGCGGCGCTACGCTGCATTATGCGACGCTGCAGTACCGTACGGTTAAATGCTATACATACCCTTGGGCTGCACTCTCTGCCGCCTTACCATGCAGTGCACTACATCATATCACGGGGCACGCACTTGCACTACAATGCATCGCATCGGGATGCGAAGCCTGTGCTGTCCGTAACAGCTTCGAAAAGGCCCGGCGTCGCTTCCTCGCTGCGGCGCTCGCTGCCCCCCCCGCCGTCCTGCTTTCAACCCGTGATTGCGTGCAAGTGCGATGCGTGGCTGTGTGAGAGGGTGTGCAGATATAGCAACTTAGGTCCTGTGGTTGCGCTGCAGTGGCGCAAGGTAACTGCACAACGCTGCAGCCTCGCCGTGGGGGGCAGCCCTGCCGAGTATGCTCCCTCTGCGCACGCCTACACCTTCACGCGAGGGGATGCGTCAGGCTGGAGTCTAAGTTTGTGGCTGGTGCTACAGGGAGGCTCGGCTGTCTACTCAAATTCTGTTGCCAATGGTATGTTTCTTTCTGCACAACTGGATCCCTGCTACCCAGTCCTGATCGTCACCCCACCTGGTCCCAATTCCTGCCTTATCTCCTTTTCTTGCCGTGACCCCTTTCCCTGACAAATTGTGCGCGCAACCTCCAATGCCATTGCCACTGGCACTGTGTGCGCAAAGCAACCGGCAGACGGGTCGGCCCGCTTTGAGCAAAATGAGGCAGCAGAGCATGTTCGAGTGTGCTGGTCAAGCCACGAGAACAACTAGTCTGAGAGAAGGGATTGGAAGCAGGAGAGGCCCGAACATTTCATCAAGTTGGACGTCGGCTTGACAGACGGTGAAGCGAGGGAACAACTGTTGCCATAACATCAGCCACTACAGCACGGGCCCAGATATGCCGAGGCACGCGCAGAAGCAAACGCTCGTAGCACAACCATCCATTCTCAAAGCACGTCTCTCAAAGGTACTCCGTGAACGTGGCGCGCTACGCTTGCCTGGTGCTCCAGTGTGCGAGCGTATCTTTTTTCGGAGCAATTTCCGACTACTCTCAGGGGCAAGCAGCCCTGCACATCCGTATACTTGAAGCTAATTGTTGATACAATGTCGGACCTGTTACCCCCCGCAAACCTCGGGAGCGGCCAAGAGGGGGGTGTCCAAGAGGGGGGAGGTGCAAATCATGACCGGCGGCATGTGCGCGGCCCAGCGGGGGGGCCTGGGACGTAATGAAACAAGAAGAGGCGCCATGAAATCTGGGGAAAAATCATGGCCCGCGCCATGAAATCCCCCCCCCCCTAGTCATCACCCCCCTCTTTTCCGCCCCCGAAAACCATCATGTGCCCATCAGGCCCTGTAGGACGGGGTCACATGGACAGTGGGACGACGGGCGGCGGGAGCTGAGGTTGACCGGGGCTCTCCGTGCCGTCTCCGGGGGCGCTCAACCGCCCTGGCGGCGTCCGTCGTCACCGTCTCAGAGCGGGTGGCCCCAAAATCTTTCGATGTATGATGAACATTCGGTCTCCAAGTTCAGTTCACACGTTTGCCTATACCAGTGGCTGTCTTGCCCCTGTCGCGGCAAGAATCTTCCAGGGAACGTCCGACAGATCACATGCTTTCACTGCTTCTATCCTGACGAGGTTCTCGCCTCGACCAGGGTGGCTTTGTGCATCACGGTCAAAAACGTGTGAGCAACAATGACGCTCAATTCTGATATTCGGTGGCGCTCTCGCTAGCTGATTACAAAGTTGTGAATTCCACGATGGACGCCGATTCAATGAGTTTTATACCAGCACGTTTGCGGCGATCACAGTTCTTGTGCAACGAGGCAGGCTCTCTGCCACCGCCGAGGAACATGTCAGATCAGAGTGGGTGAAGCCCATGGCTGCCCGCTGCCATTTCGGCAACCTAGTACCCTCGCGCATCGCGCCCCGCGATGCGCGATCAACTTCGCACCCTCTTGCCGCCGCCCTGGACAAGGGCGCCTCTGCCATCCAAGCCGCGACGCGCTGAGCGCGGTGACCCCCCCGCCCCCTCTTGCGACACCCAGTCCCGTCGAGGAGGCGGACGACTGACTGTGATGGCGTCTCGCCAAGACGCTCTCAGATCACAGCGAGCACGTCAGACCACCGTGAGTGAAACCCATGGCCGCCCGCCTACACCGAGCAAGCAAACGACTTGTCATAACGGCGTCCGCGAAGGCCCTCCCCCGAGACGCCTCTCTCGGTGCCTGCTCCGCGCCTCCCCGACAGGTGAGATGCTCCCCGCCTTGCCGCGGGCGCCGGGGGGGGGGGGAAACATCGAGCCCAGCCCCTGGACCTTGCAAGCGCAAGGAGCCGACGGCATGCCAGGGTCCTGGGGGAGGTGTGCCCTGGCAGAGTCTCTGGGCTCGCCATCGCTCGGACGTCCGTTCCCCTCGCGTTTCTCGATGTCGTGCGTTGGGTTTTTTTTCGCAGGATGCACAAGGATGCTCCTCGATGGTCCTCGCCGAAGACATACTGCACACGTCCGAGCGATGCCAAGAGGATCCGACGGCATGTCGGATCCCAGGGGAGGTGTCCTCTGACAGAGCCTCGGATGAACATGATTTGTCGGAGCTCCGCGCGAATTTCTTGAATCGGCGCTGGCCCCTCTCCCTCCCTGGCGCGCGGGGCGCGCCAAGGCGGTGCCGCCCAGGGACCCGGCGCAGGTCCAATACTTCCGCGCGGACCTTGAAGAAATCATGTTTGCGCCCCTGCTCAAAGTTAAGATAAGTCTACGCTACGAAGAGCGATTTCGCTCCAAGCGTTTTCCTAACCTGTAGTCCAGGTCCAGATGCACGGGCACTCTGCAAAGGAAAGAAGCCCCAAGAGAGCCCAGGGTCCGGCCCAGATTCCTGATTCTCTTGAGCGACATCTGGAGTCCGCGGGAATTGGCGTTTTTTTTCGTAAAACCTCGACGAGGGACTCTGATACACGCAGAAAAGAAGCCTCGGCGCGCCCGAGAGGGCTGCGGCCGTGGGGCGGACCGTTCTTCATCCGTCGCCCTCTCCGACTTCCCGGGATCCTGGTCTGCAGTGCCCTGGCCGGGGGATCGGGCCGCCACAAGATGCCTCCAACAAGGCTCGAGCGAAACGGTGTTTCTTCCGTGTTTGTTCCAGAGGAGGCCAGTCCACGAGAAACCTTCCACAAGAAGCCCAGAGACCCCAGGACGTCCATGGGATTTTTGGTGTGGGAACGTCACGCCCTCCGCAGCAAAACCACGGAAACCCAAGAAACCCCGGGGCACCCTGGAGGCAAGCAGGGTGCTTCTTGGCACGGGCCCCTCTGCTGGATGCCCCTCTTCGCTTTCCTCCCTTCTGCCTTCGCTCTCTCCTTCCCTGCGAAGCGCAGCCAGCACGACAACGGTCCACACGAGGTCGCCCACGCACCGCCCAGACCCCCGACGTCATGATTTTTTCATTACGTCGACCCCCAGAGGTCCCGACCCCTTCCCCAGGACCGGTTTGTCATCCTGAGTCGTTTTTTGACGCGCCCGAGGCCCGGTGAGGGCCCCCAGAGGCCAAAAACTAGGAAAAACCTCCCGTCGTGATTTTTTCATTGCTCGAGGGGGTCTGGGCGCTCAGCTCGAGCCCTGGCCTCCCCAAGCAGCGGCTCGCGTCACCGTGCCTCTGACGCCGGCGGCGCTCCGGGCGGCGAGGGCGGGGAACCCTCGGGGGGCCGGAGGCCGCTCCGGGGCGCCCAGCCCGGCAGGCGTCGGTGCGCCCGCCAGCACGCGGACCACGGCATCCCCAGCGTGGTGGTGGAGCTCAGCGCCGGCGGTGCGGCCGGCGCCCAGGTGTCCAGGCAGCACGGGGCGGCTCCCAAGCGGCCCCGGGAGCCCAAGGCACGGGCCCGAGGCCCCCGCAGGCGGCCCCGAGACCCCACGGAGGTGGCCCTGCGACTCCGGGCACGGTGCTGGATGAGAGACGCGCCGCCGAGCTGGCCCCGAGACCCCAGCAGATACCGCGCCTGCCCCCGGCAGGAGCCCGGCTGGTTCCGAAGAGACTCGCAAGCACGCTTCTGATACGCCAGGCGGAAAAAGAACAAGACAGCTCGCCGCTGGGGCCGCATCTCCAGCCAAAACGGCGAGCGCAGATCGGGCGTAGCCCCATGACGTGTGAGGGCCAATCACCCAAGGCCAGAGGTTGCGCAATAGGTTGTGATATCCAGGGGTTGCGCCGTAGTTTAGGTTGCGTCATGGGTTCCACCATGGGTTGCGCCACAAGTTTCGGCATCCATGGGTTTCGCTATTAGTAGCGCCATTCATGGCTTTCGCTGTCCATGGCTGCGCAATAAGCTTCGCCTCGCGCCATCCGTAAGCTGCGCCATTGGTTGTGCCATCCATGGGTTGTGCCCTGCGCTGCGCCATCCGTGGTTTGGACTACAGGTTGCGCCATCTGTGCGCCCTCCATGGGTCGCGCAATGCGTTGCGCCCTCTACAGTCGAACCTCAACACGGCCTGCTATTGGCTGCGCCGCAGGTTGCGCCCTCGGCTTCTGACAATTAATCGGCTTGCTATTGGTTGCGCCATTTTTTTCACCCTGGGCTGTGGCGATGCATCGCCGATAGGTTGACGATATGCTCCCGTGAACGAAGCCGCGCCTTCCTGGGCGGGGGTGGGCTATCGGGCTCCTGTCGGCGATGAGCTGGCGACAGGGGTTCGATACGCCCCCCCTGAGCCCATCCCCCCAGGCGTTGCCTCTCAGCGGCCAGGGGATCTGACCTGGACGAGAAAATCTGTCAGGAATGAAGAAATCAAGCATCTGGTGCCTCGCCCCAGGTGCGTTTTTGACGGTCCTGGGGCCGGAAAACGGGCCCCCTGGAGCCCGAGAGAGGCAACCCACACATCCTCGCGCCCAGCGCCTCGAACCTCGCCCCCCCCTTCCTGCTCACCGAGGCCACTGCTGGGCAAGCCCCTGGTTTCAAGAGCGGGGCCAGCACCGAGTCAAGACAAGATGGATGCTGTGCTTCTCATGCACCTGTCTACCCACGGACCTTCTGCCAGAACGACCCTGGGGGTTAGCGCTGGTCACCTTTCTTGGGTTGAGCCAAAACGCAACGAACAAGGGTGGCCAAATCACGATGAGCCCAAAGCCCATTCACCACCCTGATCCCCTCCCTCCCTCCCCTCGCTTCCCTAGAGAGGGCTCGAGAAACGATGCATTTCAGCGGGCCGAAGTCCGCGCGGCGGCCAAGTCCATCGCCGGCTCTCGCGGCCGGCGCGCAGCCCGACACGACGCGGAGCGCGCTGGGGTCCGCGCGTCACGGAGCAGCGCTGGCCTGCGCAGGGGGGGATCTGGATCAAGGGGCGCCGGCTGTGCCTTCTTTTGAGGATGATGATACCGATGATGATGATAATGATGATGATGATGATGATGATGATGATGATGATGGTGATGACGGAGATGATGATGATGCTGATGATGATGATGAGGATGATGATGGTGACGATGATGAGGGTAATGACGATGAAGAAGACGTGGATGATGATGATGAGGATGGTAATGTTTATGGGAAGGAGAATAACGCGGGTGAGGATGATGATATTGTCGAGTATGATGATGATGATGAGGAGGATGAGCATGATGATTATCATGATGATGCTGATGATACTGATGATGACGATGATGATGATGACGATGATGATGACGATGATGGTGATGATGATGAAGATGATGATGATGATGAGGATAATTATGGTGAT